TATCACTTGACGTGGTCTTTGAGTTACCGTTAGCTCTTCCTGAAAGGAAATGACCCACACATAAAGTGCCTGTTCCTTTTTTGCATTGAGTCTGTCCATTTGTGTTTGTCCATCTGGTGGTGCTGTAGTCACATGTGTGCATGGTAAACGAGTGAGTCTAGATGCTGTGCAAAGTGAATTTTTTAAAAGCTATATATGTTGAAAATTGTACCTCCCTTTTTTTTGACAATTTAATTCTGTCAAAAGCTTTCACCATGTAATACAAGGGGGTATTGGGTATCACAGCTGTCATGAAATCAGGCTTTGAAGTTAACATATGTGTCTTATTATCTGCTTTTATTATCAGCCACACCTGCGGACTTCCGTTAGAATACAACAACATTGACCACAAATGTACTTTGTAAAAAAATTTTATCCAACTAGTTGATTTTAAACCAAACTTAACAAAACAATAATTATGATGCTACTTATATAATGATACTGATGACACCCAAAGACACACCTGCCCTGGGGCTGACTAACTCACAGAAGCGAGGCAACTAGTATGTGCCATTGGCCTCTCCAGCCACCAATCATACACACAGACACACACTACTTATTCATATGAGCCAATTCCCTAAGGACACAGCGACGCACTGTCCCATCACAGCACTAACCCTGCCCTGCCCTTCTTAGCTTCGGAGGCTTTCACACAGAGCTGATGTTCATGTCTGATTTGTCCCGCTCCAGTCTCACAGTCGAGCTGCTCCCAAGACTGGTAACGACATCTTTCAAAGACAACACTCTGTTTGTCAGACGCAACACCTCACTCCTCATGGACGATGACAACAGGAAGTACATGAGCGGGTCCAGGCAGCTGTTCAAGGCCGAAAACACCAACGCGATCTCATTGGCTCTATCGGCTTTGCTTCTCACGAAACAGGAAGTCTCTGTAATCTGTGTTTTAATGTAAAAGATCCTAACCAGGTGATAAGGTACAAAGCACAGGGTGAAGAGAAAGACGATGGATAATGACTTCTTGGCGCTGCATTTGTGGCGAAGCGCACTGGGGGAGTCTTGCCTCTCCTGGGATCTCCTCTGCAGATAGCGACCAATCCTCACATAAGATGTCATTAATGTGATAAAAACGACCCAGAAAGCCACTACAATTGCCATGTTGATGTAGGCCTTCCATTTTTTTTTAAGGAGCTGTCTGTAATAGAAACATCTGCAGACAAAAACATGCTGTTAGTTTGTAAGGCCTCTTTTGACTATACAAAACTGCATGAATTTACTTTGCAATATCAATTGATCAATATTTTTCAACTTGTTTTCCTCATCCAAAGACTGTCTCATTTTATTAGTAGTGTAATTTAACCTTGTGTTTTGATAAATACATTTTATTTTGCGTAGATTCTATGGTACATTATATTGAAATAATGAAAGAAGGAAGTAAGTATTTTTTAAATCTTACTTGTTCCAGTCTCTCACAAACCCTTTGGCACACAATGAGATTTCACATGAAAATATGTGGCCACCAGCAAAACTATATAGCATCTTTAAATAGCTTTGTTGCTAGTTCTCAGCCCAAAGCCTCATAATGTGACTCATATGCCAAAGTGACCATGTTTTCTATGTACATATTATCCCGTTCTGTCACAATGCCCTGTATTTACCATAAACTAGTTGCAGATAGGGCTGGGCGATATGGCAAATTAAGTAAAATCTTAATTTTATTTCCTGCTTTTGACGAATTTCAATTTTAAATTGGTTTACATAAAGTCACCGAAGACAGACTTTGCCCTTAAAAATATGTTTTGATCTTTCCGCTCAATATTCAACTTTCAAAACAATTTTTAATTTGTTTCCCCCAATATGTGTTATAAAAGTCGGTGCTGATATTGCCAGTGTAATTCGTGTCGACTTGATTACGTTAAAACACAGTGCAACAACAGAAAACATATTACAGTGCTTATAAGTGTACAACCCCAGGCAGACATTTTTGTCCACATATCAGAAATTATTTATGATAACGCAATTGTTAGTGTTTGTGTTTTGCCATACATGAAGCAGAGGAAATGGTTTTTCTATAGATGGATATTTTTCTTTTTTTATATTTTATTATTTTTGTAGAAAGCCCCTTGAGATGCAGCATCTCATTTTTGAGAGGGTCCTATTGCCCTTTTAACATCTATGATGGCATGGAGTCTGGAGGTATTTGTGGATGAGTTTCTTAAACTTCTCTGATGGTGAAGCCGCCCATTCTTCTTGGCTAAAAGCCTCCAGTTCCAATAAATGTCATGATTTGAAAGTGAAAAACACAACAATTAATAGCTTTATTCTTATCAATTCTAATCTCTAAAATATGGCCAAAACAGTGACATTTCTGCCTGGACGCGTAAACTTTTGAGTACAACTATTTTGAATATCAATCTCCTTCCACTCACCTCTCTCTCTGTTCGGATTTTTCGAACACAATCACCAGAATGATGACCGACAAAGATGCGGCCCATGTTATTGCGCAGACAATGATGCTCCCTTTTATGGTCAACCTCCGATTTATCCCCACAGCTTGATGGACCTTCAGATACCTGTCCACACTGATCATTCCCAGCAGCAAGATGCTTATGTACATGTTTGCATAGAAGACGTTTGCCACTACACTACACAGGGTCGGGTCCAGGGTCCACCTGTTGCCTTGGCTGTGGTAGAGGATTCTGAATGGCAGGCACACCATGAGCAGCAGGTCGGCGAATGCGATGTTAATGAGGAATATGCTCACAGAGTTCTTCTTGACATGTACGAATAGGAATACCCACAATGCCACTAAGTTACCGATGAGCCCGGGTATAAAGATAATGGTGTAAAGAACGGCCAAAGAAGACTGCAGCTCCCATTGCTCCTCACACGGTCGACTCACATTGGGGTAAAAAGGCCTGGCTGCTGTGCTATTGCCGGTTTCCATGGAGTTTCTGTCGTTGTTCCGTCTCTGCAATCAATATCAACAATAATGTTTATTTCTACGTGTTTTGTAAAGCGTCTGAGTGTCCAAAAAAGCGCTATATAAGTTTGATGCATTATTATTATTATTAATAACTTGACTGTTGCATTTAGTGAGGACCTAGAATCATTCATACTGTTAAGGCAGCTCTAATGTTGATTGAATTGGATCACACCTTGTACTACCCCCCCATAAGAACACTGGACTGTACTCCATAATTATAAAGATCATAACAAAGGTCACTTGTAAGGAGTCTATATCCCAATTTTGTGTCCCGTTGATTTGCAGAAATACATGAGCTTTTGAACAGTATTTTAAGGTTATAAGTTTCACCTGTATTGCAAATTATGCAATAAAACCAGATCTGATCTCTATCTTTACGTACGTTTGTGAGTAAAAAAAAATGTGAAAAAGGAAATACTTGCCTAGTTGTGGTATCGGTTAAGAACAAACCCTCTCAGACACATCCAAAATAAAACAAGCCTCAGACACAGTGAGCATTTCCAGTGAGAGGGCTGAGCCAAACACTGAAGTGAAGTCATATAGCTACCGCCCTTTATGAGGGCACAACACAGGAAATCTGATCTCACTCTGACAAGATACTTATATTGCATGTTATAAAACTATTATTAGTTATAAACATCGCAAATATTGTTAACTAATAATGAAAGGAAAATGTTAGAGAATTTGGCCTTTCAACAAATAAAAAACTAGGTAGGTAAAGATTAGTTCTAATAGTATCAGAAGAAACAAAATGCCAGAAATGATATACACACAAACACAAAATGTCAAATTGTCATCTTAAAGCTGGGGAACCTAACTTTATTTTTTCATAAATAAAATTTTGTTTTTCCCAGTAGAAAGAGTTGAGATGACCACAGAACGAAATAGACCACAAATAGACCTCTTAATCTTGTTAGATTAAGACTCTTCTGGCCACCCTGGAAAAGCCATGTTCCAGCTTCTTCCCTCTGGCAGAAGATATCGCTCTCTGAGATGCAGGACATCTCGTTACGCTAACAGTTTTTATCCACAAGCTGTTATCAGTGTGAACAGAGCACTTTAAATGATTTGGACTTGTTTTGAAACTGTTATAGTCGATCGATTTCACAGTGACATTTGTTTACTGTTTTATTTGTTTTATTTCTGTCTTTTAATGTTGTTTTATCTCTATTTGTCTGTGCACACTGGAGACTTTTTGCTAATGTATTCCAATGTGGTGTTTTTACTGCAAATGGCAAATAAAGTGAATCTGAATCTGATCTAGATAATTTGTGGACTTTTGCATATGAGGGCTGAGTCCTCACTTTTTCACTTTTCTGTAAAAGCTGATCCAAAGATGTCTCACAATGGAGAAATGTACAGATAGCAGGAACTGGTTGTGGATGGATGACACAATGTAGTTCAACCTATGTGTTTTGGACATTATTCCAGTGTAACTCATTTGAATGTTTTTCCTGCTTATTTTCTTGTTCCTAGTAAATAGTCAAATTTCCATACCCCGTGAACCTTTTTATCACTTACTACCAAGTTGTTGACCACATTTGAAGTTAAAAGTTTTATAAGTCACTTTCTGTTGCTCCAAACAGCGTCGATGTGACCCTTCCTGTGTGGGAGACAGCAGTGGTCAGAATGAGTGCTGCTGTTTTTGGGCGTGCCGTGAATGTGACTGAGATTTCATAACACGTTTAAGCAACTTTTGTTAAGGTTAAACTCATCATTCTATCAATGTGCAGAAGCCTGTACTTTTCCACTTCATGTTTTGTCTATCTGAAGGCCAAGCTACATGGCACCGTGGCAGCTGCTGATTGGAGGTCTCCATGCCTCCGCTCTGTATAATACACTTGCATTCTATTGTATCTGTGTTCGTGCTGTTCGTGCTGTCTCTACCATCGACAATAAAACATGTCTTCTGTCTGAATTTATGACACGATCCCAGACTTTGTCATCTTCTTCATGACTGTTATTTAAAGCCTTTTAATCAACACTGATTCATTGAACGTCTTCTCTCATTCCTCAGCCTCATTGTGTGCTGCTGGCCTCCAAAGAAAACTCTGCTCCTGTCAAACTCGGTGGCTTCGGGGTGGCCATCCAGCTCGGGGAGTCGGGACTCGTGGCTGGAGGTAAACAAACTAAATGTATCTACACACACACAGTAGTGATGCCTGAATAGGGTTGCTAACATCCCTTAAAACACAGAATAGTCCCATGATTTAGAAAAACTATTTGTGTCCTGTATTGAATTGATAAGGGACGGCTTGTGTCCTTTATTTTCAGAGTCTCCTCAAATGCATCACTCACTGCATATCACACACAGTTACACACAGTTATATACAGTTTAATACAGTTTAAGCGTCTACCTTTCAGCCAGTCGGTGTCAAAGAGGGGCGTATCACATCCATGGTGACAAGCGGCAGCGTGGGCCTCATCATGGCAGAAGCTCGGTGAAGTTAGCGTCATAATCCCAGATTCAGACTTCCGCGGCCTATCGCTCACAAAAGCTACGTTGTTAAACGAAAGTAACTGTGCCAAATTGATCACCTCTACATCATTTTTTCAAATCCAATGTGCTGTTTTAATGCATAGAAATTAATTAAATCCAATTCCTTGTTTTTTTAAACATTTATTAATAAATTCACATTCTAAAAACTGTGAATATGAAATTCCGTGATTCCTGTGTAGATTGATTTTAAGACAGCTAAAAAGTGCTCAACCCAATCCACCCAAATGTTGTTCCTTATTTTTCTGTTCTCAAGTCTCTAACTCACTGGAATTTAGACACAGCTAAAGTTGGTCTATGCTTGTAATAATGTGCTTCAGTCACGGAGCTTCAGTTGGTGCTCCAGTATAATCGGTCCATCTGAACCAGTGAGGAACGTTCCGCGGTGCAAAAATAAATCCTATTAGAATGCGTCAATTTTTTTAACGCGCTAATTATTGTGTAATTGATTCATCTTAATACATGCGTTAAAGTCCCGGCCCTAGTAAAAAGTTATTTGTAAAGGTGCACTTTATTAATCCCCATAGGGCGGTACATCCTCTGCATTTGACCCATCCTGATGCAGGAGGGAATTTTTTTTATTTTATTTTATTATTTCTATTATCAGATGTTGTTGCTCGGCTTGGTCAGAACCAGAGCTGTTCTGCAACGCTGATATAAAGATGTGACAGAGGCCAAAAATACATGCATGTGAAACTAGTGATAGAACCAAACTAATTTGAGAATGTCCCCCAGCTTTAAGTTTTAGTTAAATTGGACACTATTTTGAATTGGTTTTAGGTTTCAATGCTTTACCTAATCTGATCTTCATCTTGCATTCAACAGTCAAAACAGGATTTGTCCATCATGATCAGCCCATCATCTCTGTATATTCATTGCATTCCTTTGTGTTTTTGTATCTTCCAGGTCGAGTCGGGACGCCACACTTCATGGCCCCGGAGGTGGTGAAGCGAGAGCCGTACGGAAAACCTGTGGACGTGTGGGGCTGCGGAGTCATCCTCTTCATCCTCCTGTCGGGATGCCTGCCTTTCTACGGCACCAAGGACCGTCTGTTTGAAGCCATCTGCAAGGGCAAATACAAGGTCAGGCCCAAGTCAACAACAGAAATGTTTTTGAAACTTCTGGTGTTTGCTACATTATGCATTTACGTTTTAAATGCAGATGAATCCGAGGCAGTGGGCACAAATTTCCGAAAGTGCCAAAGATCTTGTGCGGCGAATGCTGATGCTGGATCCTGCCGAGAGAATCACAGTTTACGAGAGCCTCAACCACCCCTGGCTCAAGGTACGGACCATGTTATTATCACATTGCTTTACCCCTCCAAACAAGAGTGCGCTAAATAAAAGAAAACGTAGCCTGTGGTTTTCTTTTAAAATAATTGACAAAAATTCACGTGTTTCTTGAATTGCACAGTGTGTGATCCCGGCAATAGCAATAAAGACAATGATGGTAACCGAAAACGATGCCATTGGGGATAAAGAGGGATAAATCTTTGAGAGTTTTATTGCTTAAAGAAGAGGTACCTAACTTTCACACCACATAAAATGGTTCCATCACTAGTTTTCATACATATGCGTTTAGGCCTCATTTTTCAGACCAAAAAGTGAAAAAGAAACAACCACACTCAGCCCAAAGCATCAAATAGTGACTCACAAGGCTTTTTCTATGCAAAACATACAATTTTATACTTTGATTCAACAACGTCCATTCAAAATTTGGTTGGTACCTCAGTCATAATACACCTTGGCAGTTGTTGGAGAGGTATTTGTGTTATCAGTAGTTTTTGAATGTTCTGTTTAGTGTAAAAAACGGGCTTTGCTCAATTATAAAACATTTGTTCACATTCTTCAGGAGAGGGACCGGTACGCGTACAAAATCCACCTGCCAGAAACGGTGGAACAACTACGAAAATTCAACGCGAGGCGGAAACTCAAGGTACATTTCAATAGAAAGCTTATCTAATCTGTACGTACAGGTGAAACTCTGACAATTAGATTACAAATATTGTTTAAAAGTTCATTAATTTCTCTAATTTGACTTAAACTGCGAAACGATGATATAGACTAATTACATGAAGTGCCTACCCTTAATTGTTATCATTTTCCTGATGATGGCTTGCATTATCAGTCTATTTTCAAAGTATTCTATTGGTTTTTTTTTTAGATGATTGAGTTTTTACTGATCCAACTATCAACAACAAGACTTATATGTCCCTTTGCATATAACGAGGCTGTCATTTAATATTTAAGTTATATAACAGAAAGAAATAGACAGTTCAACACTGTTCTGTACGCCTGTATATTTTAATTATAGATCTCTAATGTTATGTGTGTTTGTTTTTTAGGGAGCAGTCTTGGCCGCTGTGTCCAGTCACAAATTCAACTCATTTTACGGAGACCCTCCTGAAGAGCTCACAGATTTCACAGACGACCCCACTTCCTCAGGTAAACTAGAATAAAACTCAAGCTTTAACCTTTGTATCCTTTACAGACTTTCACTCTCACTTTCTGCCGCCGACTGCTGCGCTCTGGTCTTTATGATCGTGATTATTCAGAGTTACTACCACCACTGACTACGTTTTAAAATGTGTGGTTGCGTTTTTCACAACTTGGACAACTTTTAGAACTTTTAGAACACATAATTAAATTTGTAGTTTAGTTTTTTTATTTGGATCCCCATTAGCTGAGCTTAAAAGCCAGCTACTCAATGTGTCGCATACAAAATTACAACTATTCTGGTGACAATTGCATCTATAGATATCAAAAGTAGATTCAATATTTATGCAAGGCAAGTTCATTAGTGTAGCACGGGTCATACACAAGGCAACTTAAAGTGCTTAACAAAACAAGATACGGGGCATTTCATTGTATATAATCACAGTACATTAAGAAGAATGAAGATAAAATCCTTCAGTTGTATGCACAAAACTTGTTTCTGGATTTGAACTTTTTCAGAAGCCTGCCTTACATTTTCAGTTCCAGTTTTTTGCTGCATACATTTGAAATGAATTGAAACACTTTCAAAAGTTACTGTTGACTTTTTTCCCCCCTTACTACTCATTTTTCCATTGTCCTTCACCTGAGGCACAACATTGGTCATTCCAAACAACGTTGGTGCCGCCTTGGGGCTGTGAGAAGATTACTATAGACCTAAAGTGAATGCTAATGAAAAATATGTATTGTGTATGTCTGTTAATGCGCTCCATCTCCTAGGACTACTGGCAGCAGAACGTAGGTACCACTGGTTAGATGCATGAAGCTACGCATGTCCTGTCACTGAGATTTGCTTGCTCCAGTGATTAATATTATTTTAATTTAAAGGCACACTATGATACTTTGTGGTGAGGAGCTGTGCCACCTGCTTGTGTCTGTTGAGGTAATAAAACTAACAAAACAAACACAATTGACACTGTGAAATTGATCGACTAAAACAGTTTCAATACAAAGGCAAGATCATTAAAGTGCTCTGTTCAAACTGATTGTGGAATTAGCTGTTAGCATATCAAGATGTCATATCAAGAGTTATTCTAAGTGCTCGGTTTAAAAGTCTGGATTTATAAAGAACCTCCAGAACAGGAAGCTCACAGCCCACAGTCCTCTTTCAGAGCGGAACACCTTGTTTAGAGCTCTCCTTTCTTTGTCCGTGATGTTACCAAACTACACAGTCACAGAACCAACAAGCAAACTTTCAATGGTGCAGCGATAAAAGTGCTTATGAGAGTAATTAAAAACACAGATTAAAGTGCACTAAAAAGAGGGGTCAAAAAAACAATAGAAATGCATCATTATACAATTTCAGACTATAACAGTGTACCATAAAGGTAGATAGAATATATATATATATCCATGTGTGCAACAGCATACTCGTGGAAACAAGCACGTGGAGGACCCTCGAGCAGAAGTGGCATAATGCATCTTTATATTACAAATGGATGATGGTTCCTAAACTGTGTGATCCTTGAAGGTGATGGTCTGGTTCTGTGGTCTGTGTTTGTGTCCAGGGGCTGTTTCTCAGGTGTTGGACAGTTTAGAAGAGATCCACGCTCTCACAGACTGCAGTGAAAAGGACCTGGATTTCCTCCACAGCGTTTTTCAGGACCAGCACCTACACACGCTGCTCGATGTAAGTCACACACATCTGAAATTTAAGATGCATTTCTTATTATTTTTTTATTTTTTTAAACAACACAAACAAACCGCAATGAAGCCAACCCAAACATTCAGTCTGTACAAATATTAAGTTGCCTTCAAATTGTCAATTGCATTTCTCCACGTTGACGCTGGTGCTCTCCTGTCTATGGATATGTGCCGTCGAGAGCTCCAAAAAGACAATTGAGGCGGCAAGGGAAGGGGCTACCACCATGTAGTTACCATATGTTAATCTGAGCCTACAAAAGTCACTTAAAAGGACCAGGGGACAGCAGGGGATTATATTCAAGAAGATTTAATGTGCCGTGTAAGTGTAGTGACTTTACCTGTAAGCAAGATGAATCTAGATTGAAATAAGGAAGTTAATGGTTCAAATTTGGATGTGAATATTCATTCATTCATTAATTTTCTGCCCCTTTATTAGTCCATTTTTGGGAAGGGGGGGTGGCAATGAGAGCTGCCACCCAATGCTCATAGCACCAGTCCCTCACTGATCCTCTGCAGGTTGTGAGTCCACAGGCTGCCCTGGTGTTTCAGCAGGAGCTTCAGGCAATGTGGGGTTAAGTGTCTTGCTCAAGGACACAACGACAGCAGACAAACACTGTTACAAGTGCTGCTGGAGTAAACATTACACTCTTTCCTCCTAGATCACATTTAAATGATCATTATTGTAAATATTGTGTTTCATCAGAGATTTTGACTAGTTTCTGTATTTTCTTGCTCATATAGATCATTTTGGATTAGAATTGTGTTAATACAGCACTATTATGTCTCTGCTTTGGTGTCATTACTCGATAGAAGAAAATCCCACTGAGCTGAGCAACAACTTCTCAAGTTTCTGTCACAGTGCGTGTTGAATCCTCACACGTTCGATATTTAGTTTAACACCAGCGCCTCTGGGGTGAAAGCAGCTCATTCCACGAGTGCGTTAAGTTAATAATGCCAATAATTCAAATGAAATAAGCGGAGGTTATGTGACGCAAATTATTGGTGAAAAGATGATTCAGAATCATCTAAAAAAAAATCTAAAAATGCATTATTGAGTGTAAGATACGATAACCTTTTGTTATAGTTGTGCACATCACAGAAAAATAAAAGAAATAGAGCACACATCAAACAGGACATATTGTTTAATATATAATAATAGATCATAGTTATCACCTCTGAAGCTCCAAATGCACTTAGGTCAATAATAAGTAACGTTTGGAGTTACTGTAGTTAGCAGCAGTCAGGAGGTGTCTCATAACCCAACATATTTTGGTTGATTTTGTTCTTTAGCAGCAGAGAATATGTCCTAATAAACAATAGTAATGGTAGCAGCAGGTAAAGTGAGTTATCAGAGGACTGTGTCAGGACAGAGCTGGACTTCCTGATGACCTTTTCCAGCTTCTTTCTGTCCCTCTTTGTGATGCTGCTCTAAACGCCCACTCCTTACAAGGCAACAGAGTCATAACTTTTATAGGTCTACAAGTTGTGAGAAAGTCAAGTATTTAAACCATTAATATTTTTTCTGTAATGATGTTTTGTTTGTTTTTTTCTTCGATCACTCTTCAATCAATCGATCTTATTTATCCATTTTAATCTGATGGGTTTGTAAACGGGTATTGTTGCCAGATTTGCCCCCTGAACCATGTTGGGGCTACAGCTGCCTCTTTTGCAGCCCAAGTTTTATACCTCAAGCCTTGGGTCAAACCAATACAAAGACGTGTGTATCTTTGAAGCCTCAAATCACCCACTCAACAATGCCTTCATTTGTTAAGTCCCAGACCCATTCAGAACCAGTCCAGCTCTTTGCATCTGCTCAAGGCTTCTTCCAAACACAACAAACTCCAGTTCTCTGCCGCACAAGCAAAGATAAACCGCTCTCCTTTGCTCCGCTGGCTGCGTTTTTCTCACAAACTACTTTCTGTCTCCCGGGTGAGTGTGTTTTCATCCTCTATTTGCTTCAGATCTACACGAAGGAAAAGCATTTTATCACGACATGCGCTCGGAAATGTGATGTCGCCGAAGCGTCCCGCGCGTGTGTGTTTAGAGTGTGACAAGTATAATGAGGCGCCGCAGATGAATGCGTTTGTGTTTTTGTATGGGCGATGTTGGAGGTTTTTAGAAGGTTTCCCTGGAGCAAAGGAAGCCTCTGTTTCAAAACTGCCAAGTAGAATCAACATAATATTGAATGAAAGTTGAGTATTTTGTTTTGTTCCTCTGTGGAAATGCACTTATGTTGTCACGCGCTGCTTTTCATTGTGCGTTGTTGTGCTCATGCGGGCTCAAAGTAAAAAGTTTTGTTGTTGACGAACCCAACACAAGCATGTTGTTTTTTTTGTTTCATAGTGAGGTGCATATCATTAGGATGTGAAATTGGTTGTTTCTAAGAAGTTTTTTGATGACATTTCTCTTGTTGTTATGATAGAGATTAAAGTTGGTATCTGCAACTTTCCTTCATAAAAAATCTGTTTTTTGTCCCAACACAAAGAGTCTTGTAAAACCTTGTGAACGATTCAGAACACTGAATCCTGTCCTGTTAGAAAATGTCCTTCTGTTGAGACTCACACAAGGAGGCTCTTTGGGCTGAGAGCTGATTGAGGGTGGTCCTCTTTTTCATATTTCTGTCTGAAAACGTTGATCTAAATGTGCGACGGGGGCCAACAATACATACAGAGAAAACAAGTGATGGAACCAAACGGTGTGAAATAGCTCGAAGCTAGTATAACATTTAAAATATTTGATTTCATTGTTTGTGGATTGAAAGTTAATATTCCAGCTTTCGCCAAAATATTGAAATCAAAATGAGCAGGCTATGTTTGTGCCGTTTGTGTCATTGCACTACTGTTAGGGTCGGTAAAGTATGATTGCGATTGTTCTGGTATTTCAAACAAATTGAGGAGGAGATTGCCAATGTTAAGTGTTGTTTTGAATTGTAATTGGGAAAGTTCAAACGCATATTTGGTTTAAAAGTTACTTTTGCAGTTTTTAGGAAAGACGTAAAAGGGCAAAACACTTGCGGCTTGTCTCGTTATGATTTTGATAGCTGACCCAACTGTCCTCCAGTATGGCCGTCACATGTCTCGTTCAGATCTCAGCACGGCAGTGAACGGTCTGGTACTGAAGGGCTCCGTCTCCAGCTGCTTCTCCTCCCTCCTCTCCTCCCTTTTCTTCTCTTTTCTTCTCTCCTCTCAGCTTCTACGGCCTGCAAACTTCCCTGTGTGCGCACTCGGCAAATTTGAATACAAAAAAAAAAACACAAGTCAAATTTGCCAAAGGTAGCAATAACATTTGAATAGTGGTTGCTGTTGTTGTGTTAGGACAGCTGCCTCCTTTGTTGGTTTGGGGTCCCACTCCCAGAGCCGTTCTGTGAGCCTCCATACAATCGCTTAAATGCAGCCACACAGCCCCCTGACTGGGCCCATACACACTCCAGCCGCGAGGGAGTTTATGGGTCAGCTGGGAGTTAAATAAAACATGGCTCTTGTGTCCGACATCCTCCGGTCACAGAGAGGACACTTTGTTTTGTCGATACAAGCACAACACACCAGGCGCAGACATGCTGCACTACAACAGCACCGTTTCAAATGCTATAATTTATTAGTCGTGCTCAAAAATGTTTATAATTTCACATCATTTAGTGTTGCTGTAAGGAGATTATGGTAAAGTCTTATTGTTTTATGTTCTCCTGTGGCCACAACTAAAACTGTACAATTACTAAGTTTGATTAGCCCTAGAATTATCCTTAATATCCCTTAACTATAAAAGATTTCGTTGTTCTTTTCAGCCACTTAAAAGTCTGTAAGCTCCAGCAGCAAATGGAAAAGTTTATGTATGAAAAAACAACACATAACTTATTCATAATTCATGATTGCACTTCTTTGCTGTATTGTACTTGGTGTTCTTTTAAAACAGATATTTGTGTTATGTTATGCAGCCCTCTTTCTAACTGTACCATGTTGCTGGACTGTAATAGATTAACAATAAAAACAACTTCATTTTACCCAATCGCTCACTTTGGCTGATTGACCTGTTTATGTCGCAGCTTTACGATAAGATCAACAGCCGGTCCTCCCCGCTACTACGGAACCCTCCGAGTGATGGAGTGCAGAGAGCCAAAGAGGTGAGTGGGCCCTTTAAAGCTACGTAATGGTTTTCACACCCCTCTTTTCCTCTGTCTGTGTTTAATGAAACTGTTCATCTATGATTTTCAACTCACTGCTTCAACTTCAACTTTTGTCTTTTACTTTTTATAGTATAGATTTTCTACAATGTCCACCTTCTGCGTTTTAAATTCTTGGGTACCAAAACAAAGGCAAATAATCTGTTGTACTACATTCATCATCTGTTTGTTGTGTTGGTGAAATAGAAGAAAGTTTCAAGGCAAGCAAAAAACTATATAAAGTGGTTGATTTAAGAATGAGGCCAAGCATGTATAAAACAGGAAAGTTTATTTATCAAAAATACTTCATTTAAAAAGGCTTTTGGTTTCCTGGGTTGTTTGTAGTGGTGGTGAGAGAGCTCGCTTTGTGAGTTTTGAAACAATTATTTGTTCGATTGACATTTGACATTTTCAGATTTGTGGTTTTGATGGGCTTTTTATAGATGTACTTTTGACCTTGATGTGAATGACTAACCACCGAAAGGTTTTACTAGTTGTAATGTGTATGGTTTCACGCATAAAATCTAGTCTTTTTACTATAAGACTTGTCAAGGCCGTTCTTAATTTGGTGCTTTATCTTTAGTTTGACTTGAGTTTCTTGAAGGCGTTTCCAAAGTGCGGCCAATCGCAGCCCTCTGTCGTTTTATGTGGAACTCTTGATGAGTCGCTGTACCTTGTAGCTAATGCAAGGTAAAACCGTTGTCATCCAGCCAACTACAGCATTGTCAAAGGTCAATCAGTAGGGACATGATGCTGTACCATTTTAAATCTCAGAACAGCCTGAATCAGACGTCTGTCCTTGGACATGTCTGGTTAACTCAAGACAACTATGGTTACATTTGTAACAACAATATACTGTATTTATTGATTATTGATTGGAGAGCTACTTTTATAAACAGAAATGGCAGAGAGTTACAGAGAGCAGTTGTAATAAAAGTGTAGCCCATTTCGTTTGGGGAGCTACCTGAAGGGAGGTGGTGAGCTACTGGTAGCTCCCAAGCCACAGGTTGGAAACTCCTGCTGTACATTGAAGCACCACAAAACGGCATGGATCATATAGATGGTTATGTACTCTGTATATTTCCTGTTTAATCTGAACATATGCTAATGTATCGTAGACAATGAAAAGGAGAAGTAGATATTTAAATCTTAGTTCCTTTGGCACATCATCTGTCACTCCCATAGAGCAGCTTTTAAACCAGGGCGACCCCAGCAGCAGCCAATCAGAATCCTGTCTGTTTTTTGTCTCAAAGTTATGTTCATAATATTATTATTTTAAACAGAAAGTGCAAAGTGATAAAAAAAAAAAAAAACATTAAAACAATGCTGAGCAGCCTTATTTTTGGGTCTATGAATGGATGAATATGGGAGCTAATTTGTTTTTGAAGTTGTTTATTCAACTATTTATTCAAGATCATTAATCCAAACATTTCTGGGCAGTGTCATTAAAACGTGTATCCTTTCTTTTCCTCTTGCATTTTTCCGACAACTCTTCCTATACCTTTTACTAAACCTGTATATCTCCTGCTTGTGAGGTTTTGAGCTCATGTAAACTTGTGTGTCAAAGCGCTTAAACTTCTCTCTGCACTAATTCAATTTCTAATCTCTGAGACTGAATCTTTTATTCTGGGCTAATGGCTATAAATACTAATCCCACTCTCCCACTAATACACTGATTAAATTTGAGGGTGAAGTCTCCCCTCCTTTGTCACCTTTGACTTTTCCCTTGAGTCCAAAGCTTGTGTAATCATTGTTCCTATGTCTTCCTCCGTTTGAAGAGGCCCTCCCAAGATGGAGCAAGTGGCGCTTTGAAACATCTGGAATATGTAAGAGCCAAGACCTCATCATCACACCATGTTTACAGTAATGCCAGGATTAGGCGATGGTGGCTAAAATCAGATATACTGAATGTGATCAAGCTGATGACAACGCGGACATGAAAATATTGCTTACCGTTTCAGATTGCTATTGTACGATCGTGTGAGCGATAACGTTAATTTTGAAGCTGAAACACAAAACCGTCTATGAACGTGTGTTTGTACATGTAACAAATACAGGCGGAGAACAGGGGCTCCATGTTGCTGTAGCTTAGATGGTTTTCTAAAGAAATATTCAATGTCTGAGGTAGAGCTTTCTCATGTTATTATTTTTTTGTGCTGACATTAAATGTGGAGGTGAATATTTGTAATAAACAAACCAACTATGCCATGCTTCCAATAGAAAGACTTCAAAAAGCTGTGTGTAGTAAGGTGTTGGCAAAAGTATGGAAATTCTATTCTAAATTTGATTCTAAATATTGACAGGACAAACAGGACGTAATTTCAGTGTTTGAATGATTTTGTTCTCTTATCAAAAACAATCTAAACCCTTTAATACTGGTAAAAATATTGCAATGTTGTACTGCAGCTCATTGTCCATAACATAATTTATTTAGATAATCTTTGTGGTTTCGAAATAGCTATTAGTCTTATTTCTTTGTATTGATCGTTTGTATTTTTACTATTCTGACAACACTAGCCTAGCATTCACAAAGACAATATTTCCTGCGCTTTTAAATATGAACATAATCTGTGAAAATGTTGACGCATGAACAAATGTCTAACTGTCTACTTTGTGTAAAAAAAAAAAAAAAAAAAGTGCAAGGGGTGCGTTTACTGACAGGTGAACTGCAGAAGCTCTCCCCGTGGCCCTGAACTCCACAATGCAACATTCAGCACGGAGGCTCCACATTACTGCAGCTGACATGAGCCGCTATTGCCGGACCGAACTCGGGGAGGGGCTCACACTTTTCCACATTCTTGAGCTTGTGACCTGCGTCCAGCGGTGATCTCACACTGGCCGCGGGGAGGAGGGGGAGGGGGAGGAGGGGGAGGCGGCGGTTTAGAGGGTCCACACAGGTACAGGTTTTCAGGGGAGCCGTGCAGAGTAACCCAGACTGTGGCTCTGTCTCAGGTGCTGGAGGAGATCTCGTGTTATCCAGAGAACCACGAGGCCAAGGAGCTGAGAAGGATACTGACACAACCACATTTCATGGTGAGTTTTGACAACTTAAGGCATCGCTAAAGTCAAGTCAAGTTAAGGTACTTCTTCCATCTGATGTTTTGTGAAGTTCTACACTGTGTGAATTCAACGAGACGACTATTGTTGTGATTTAGGGCTATACAAGAAAAAAAGAATTGTTGAATTGATTGAACAAACTTGAATGAGGGGATTGCAGTAGAATGTGATACTAGGAGTGTTGTCAAAAGGATCTGAAAATAGCGCTGAAACCTCCTCCCACTTGTCTTGGTAAATGTCCAAGTATCTTTTTCAGTAATTTAATGTTAAAAATAGTGTCAATAAACTATTTGACGATGCAATTTAATCCATCAGAACTAATATATTTCATTTGCCTGGATTTTAGCGCTGACAAGGTCAATGATTGTAGTAATTGTGAGGCATAACGGGCATTTCCTTTGTTTAGACTTTTTAATAGGCTGTTTAGCTTTTGGACTGTTGTGTCACAAAGACATTTTGTTACACACTTAATTTTTCATAACAATGGAAGACACTGTGCCATTAAACATCATAATTGTTGTAGCATCTGCAGAGATTGTGATGACAAAAAACACATTCATCTTTCTTATCTGGCTAATCCCATCACATGAATCAATGGCTCTTCTTCACCCTTAACAGAAGAGAGAGAATGTAATCACATCAGTTCTAACCTAATCGTGGAGTGAAATGCCTCTGTTCGGGGGCGGATGGTCTCCTGCTGAGTCATGTTTGATACGACCGGATCCTTCGGTGCCAGTGCAATGTAAACTCACAGAGGGTCGAGAGGCAGCGCCCGCCCACATTCCTCTGAGCTCAGGCCACGGTCAACACCAGAAGACTCCTGGGAATATCACTTCTGTTTACAGGAATATTAGTGGGATTGAAGGTGTAAGATTCGCCCATCACTAGGGAGTAGGATTTTTTCAGTTGTAAAGGTTGGCCTTGAGTAAGAGTGGATGTTGTTGAACCAGATGTACTATTTTTCTGATTCACAAATCCTGGGAAGTTTGATCTTTACAGGAATTTTTAATTTCATTCATTGTAATTATTGTACTGTGAAATCAGACTCTTGATCATCATGCCTTTAACATTAGTCACGATATCAAATGTTAATTGATCAAAGCCTTTATAGGGACTGATGTTTAAAGCTGGGGTACCCGACTTTCAAACAACAAACAGTAAACTGTGTAATAAATCTATCCTCGCTCTTTAAACGGTTTGGTTCTATCACTTGTTTTCACATACATGGATTGTGTAGCCTCTTTCACATTTTTAGATCATATTTTTTATACAAACGTGAAAAAGAGAGGACAATCAGCCAATCCACTCTCAGTATTTAAAATATGGCATATTTTCTAACAAGATGAAAACAGGATGTTGCAGTTTGATTTGTTCACACAATATTACTAAATTAAACCTTTCATTGCTTAGAGACGAGCATTTTATTTCAGTTGGCTCTGGAGCTGAGTTTTCAGCTGTACTTTTCGGATAAGGCTCCACATCCAAAAAACACATTTCCTTTTTCTCATAATTTAAGTAACTCTGAGTTGCAGTGGGATTAGAGTTAACCCTGCCCTCATTAGGGGACACTGTCTCCACATGCGCTTCACTTCACACAGCCGTGACTTCCTGCGTGTCCACGAGCATCACATCTTTGGGTGCTTGATGAAGCCTGACATGGAGCTGGACCAGGCCTCAGGATAAAAGTGTGTGTCTGCGTGTGTATGTGCGCACTTGTGTTTGCGCGCGTGTGTGTGTGTATGTCTGCGTGTGCATGCGTGTGTCTGTGTGTGTGTGTATGTGCGCATGTGTGTTTGCACGTGTGTCTGCGTGTGTGTTTGTGTGTATGTGCACACGTGCGTATGTGTGTGTGTGTGTGTCTGTTTGTGTCTCTCTGTGTGTGTGTGTGTGTGTGTGTGTGTGTGCCTGCATGCATGTGCCACTCGTGGGACGGACTGACAATCGTCTTTAGCGTTTGATGGGTTGATTGTTGCCCTTTGAAGATCAAACCAGTCTCTTTGAAATGGTGTACTCAGTGATGGAAGCTTATTATTTTTATGCCAGACTAGAATAGAGTTGTCGTAAATATAGACCTGTTTTTTGTAGATAAAAAGGCAAAAAGTTGATTTGTACAGCTCAAACCGCACACGGGGACATTCCAAGGTTGTTTTTTTAAATGCACTATTATTATTATGCATTATTTCAATGAAAAGGCTATAGTAGCTACGCAGAAGACTTTTTAGGTTAAATTCTAACATCTTCACACTAGAGGCCTGTGTCATGCTTTGGGGAAAATTGTTCCATTTAAGGCCGTGTTCATCCGTGTATGTCTGGTTCACTAAACTGGACTAAATGTGGGGAAATCCAGCTTCAAAGACCTGTTTCAAAAAATGTAAACGTACTTATGTCATTAGTAAATACATGGTCACTTTGTTTGGTGGTTTTACACTAGCATTTTTCCCCAAAGTGAACCACAGTTAGTCCAGTTAAAGTAAACCAGACCAACAAGAGACTGCGGCCTAATTTGTTTACAAAACTGATTAGGCCGCACTGATTATTATTTCAAAAAGAATACCTTAGTCATTGTTTTTTCTTGTCTTCTCCATCATGATGTAGCACTGTTCAGGTGTAGTGAAGTGATCTTCTCGTGTGTGGTTGTGCAGGCGTTGCTTCAGGCGCATGACGTTGTGGCCCATGAGGTGTACAGTGACGAGGCGCTGAGGGTGACCCCGCCCCCCACCTCACCGTACCTGAACGGAGACTCGCCGGAGAGCACCAACGGAGACATGGACCTGGAGAACGTGACCCGAGTGCGACTGGTGCAGTTTCAGAAGAACACAGACGAGCCCATGGTACCATCAAACTAATGTTACTATTATTCACATACTATTACTATTATTACCAGTTTACTGCTATTTCTACTGTTACATCTATATTTCTATCACTACTATTACTACTATTATTACAGGTAGGGCGACAGTAGCTCGGTTGGTAGAGCATTGGCCTTTGAGCCAGAGGTTGTGGGTTCGAGCCCGACTCTCACCATTGACTCCTACTGACTGCTGTAGTTGTGTCCTTGGCAAGACACTTGACCTCTGGGAACAACAGATGCCACAGTGGGGCGGCTGCGGCTGTAAAGTCCCAAACTGCCGTTGTGTCCTTAGGCAAGACACTTTACCCCCATTGCCTAGAATGAGTCTGGTGTGTGTGTGAATGGTTGGTGGTGGCAGGAGGGGCTGATGGCACATACTGGTTGCCTCTTCTGTCGCTTCTGTCAGTGTGCCCCAGGGCAGCTGTGGCTACAGTAGTAGTTTATCACCACCGTGTATGGAGTGAAAGAATAATGACATGTAAAGCGTCTGAGTGTCCAAAAAGCGCTACATAAAACCGATGCATTATTATTATTATTACTGTACGATTTTTTCCTATTGTCACTGTATGAATGTTACTTCTGTCAATGTCAGTTTTATTTGTATAGCACATATACAACAACGTAAACAAAGAAGGAAAAAAGAAAAACAGCATGCAATACACACAAATACATATAAAAAGTAAAACGGTAGAATATATTTAGTTTTAAAAGCCAAAGAAAAAATGTGTCTTTAGACTATATTTAAAAAAACGCCAATGAAGGAGCTGCTCTAATATAAAGAGATAAACACAGTAATTACTAATACTGCAATTACCGCTATATTATTCCCGTTATTACCATAGTACTATTACTACAAATATTATGTGCAACATGGGAAACTCAAGGCTGTGTTTGTGTTTCTAGGGCATCACACTGAAGATGAACGACTCGAATCACTGCATCGTGGCCAGGATTATGCACGGAGGAATGATTCACAGACAAGGTACGTGTAACAGTCGACTTCTAATCACCAGTAGATGTTGCAAGCTCTTTGCTGTTCCCCGGATTCTCTATGTAGTCGTTACCTCAAAAAGAATACCTTAGATTTAGTTTGTAATTGTTGGATTTTGTTCAAGGAGCACATTATATGTTTGTCCAGGAGAGACCTTCTTAAAATAATCGTCAAGTATTTTATTTCATGTTATTTAGGAAACAAAAAAACGTTTAAATGACACTCTCCCACTCTTCATATGATCTGCTGAACTGAGGATGTTAGCATTTCTATCATAGGGGGCCAGCAGCATAACGTGTGGATTTAGAAATATTTTAGTAAAAAAGGATTTACATAATTTATAAAGGTGACAAATTTCAAAAAGACAAACATTCACTAATAAATGAATCCCGTACATTTCAGAACATGTTTGTAGAATTGTTGCGTACAGTGCAGACATAATATTGAGGTGTTTGCATATTGTTAACTGGTACCGTTCAAGTTGCGATTTTGATTTGTTTTGTTACCCTAATGATTTTTTATATTCACCAAAGCTGATACGCCATGTGGAGTCAAACTATCATATCACTATTATGTTTACTCTTGCGCCCAACAACGGTAATCATTTCCTGCAGTTCTATTTGCTGCTATGTGTAAATAAACCGATCCATTTGTTTGGCATTAAAGCAGTGTCTCTTCTCAGTGTAATCAGACAGAGGCTCCAGAGAATGTGAAAGAGGAAGAGGTGTGTTTCATTCATCATTGTCTCTTTATTTCAGGAACGCTGCACGTTGGAGATGAGATCAGGGAGATCAATGGCATCAGCGTGGCCAATCAGACGGTCGAGCAGCTGCAGAAGATGCTGGTGAGTTTGTTTTGTCTGACTGTCATTTAATCCTGTCGCATTTGTTTGAGTAATTTCCATTTTCAAATAAATTCCCCCCCTCAACCTCATGTTGCACACCACCCTCCAAGATCTGTGCCATAAATAACTACTTAAGTATTTACCTTGATGGGAGTTTATTTTGACTTTCTATTGGGAAACAACTAAGGTAGATGAGTTTGGTCTAATACCAAACTTCGGACCCTGCATCAGAAAACGGTTTATCTTCAAGAGAATACTAAATCCAGAATACATACAACTTGCGATAAACAATTCTGAAAGTACCAAGAAAAATCCGTGGTTTTTTTGTATTCATAGGTAAATGCAGGTCTCGGTTCCTTAATTGACACCAAGAAACTATGTGGTCAACATTTTACGACTGAATGTATAACTGTCACACACACATTTCAAAACGGAAACCAGATAATTATCTTTTACTCAGGCACAATATTTTAGAGATACTGCGATAAACGAGAATATTGAGACGTGGTAAAATGCCGGGAACTGTTTTTTTAGTCCGCAATAGTGTGAAAAGGCCAGAGCTGCTACAAATACACAGGAGACGGCACCAGTAAAAAACTACACATAGAAATGACCTTTTCAACTCTGCAGAGCTAATTTGAAAGAACATTTACGATAGATAAATATTGAGCTACAAAATATATTGCCCCAGGTATTGTACATGTACTGTAATTGTAAATATCTTGACAGATCTATCTAATACAATGTGTTTTTGTTCACAGAGGGAGATGAGAGGAAGCATCACTTTCAAAATTGTGCCAAGTTATCGAAGTCAAGGCTCGTGCGAGGTATTTATGTTGTGTCTTTTCTCTTCTTCTGATGTCGTTACTAACACAGAACTAATCAAGGGCTAACAAAGTGCTAACACCGTGGTAAGGCGGCGCTGGTCTGAGCATGTGCGCATGTGTAAGCTCGGTCTGTGTGGATGGGACTTCATAATCCGCACACCAATTTAAAAATAAAGATACCGGAAGCACCCTCTCTCTCCTCTGCTCCGGGGCCCAGTCCAACCCCTGTGTGTGGTCCTGCTTCTGTCCTGTGTCAAAACGGGCCTCTCTTTTTGTTTGGATAGTAGAGTCTGCAGATGCTCGATACATTTCTGAAAGATTATAACTACAAACCATCACCAAATCCAAGAGAGAACAAGTGTTTGGTGATGCCACAAGGAACACCTGCCCTTATAATGTTTTGTTTTTATGTCGCAATATCACATTTTAGGGATAATTTTAGTTTTTATATGTTATAATAGGCCAGCCCTATGTACAAGTGTGTATGACCGGTTAGACATGACTTTCCCAAAACATGGTTATCCTTAGAATAAGATTTTGATTATGATTTTACTACTTATATCCTAGTTTGACCATGTTTTTAGATTTATGATTTTGCTGCCCAGCACATCGTTAGGGATGTTTTCAAGCAGCCATGTAAAAAGATGGACCAAAACTTTGATATTTCAGGTCTATACTACAGCAGTTAATAATTGGTATATTTTTATGCACTGGAATTAATGAAACTCTTCTTACCTTGAGCTGCTTCACTGTGAGATGACCTCATGGAAGTCTGCTGGTGTTGTACCCATCTGCTGCCCCCCGGTGGACGCACATAGATGTGGTCTTTCTAAAAGGCGTCAGTCCAGCGTGTGAAGGAGGCGTGTGCGTGTGTCCTGCTGATCTGTGTGTCTTATTACAGAAAGAGTCCCCCAACACGTCCAGGCAGTCCCCCGCTAATGGCCACTCCAGCATTAACAGTTCTATATTGGTAAGGATGCCACCAAATCTGACATAATCGTTCTCTGAGATTTCCCCTGAAACACTCCACACTCCACTCGCCGTCTTTTTCACCACATTGTTTGGGGTTTATTTTGTCTGCGGTTTTGGTAATGATCAGTTAAATTGTCGTCTTTTTGAGTTGTAGTGGAACAGATGTGTCCAAATACGTGCTCGATCTGATCTGAACTGAATTCACAAAGACTTTAACAAGACTTTACTGAAGTTACAACGGTTTACGACTGATGGGTTCATTCTTATACATTTAAATGAGGCCATTGATATCTACATAAAGGGATTCTACTCTTGACAGATAAAGAATATGCATAGAATGAAAGACTTCAGACAGTTCCCTTCTGGTAAAAAAAACCCCATTGTTGATGCTATAGTAGAGCTTTATTATGACCAAATATAATTGAATAACTTAAGACGGTTAAGGGAAACAAAATGCCTACCCTTGTATACCTAAACCTTATGACTTAATCATGGAATAGATCAGGTCTGAGGCTGACTTTGGACCTGTATTAAAGTTGTTCTCTCCTTGATATTGACTGAAAACGTCAATATCCGATAGAGTCCGATATCTCAGTTAAATTGGTGTGCACTTTCGCTTGCTGCACTGAGCCAGTGGTGCAGGGGGCGCTGTAACATTCAGCTGCTTGCTTAGCTCTGTGATGCTTGGTTTGCCTTAACACGGTGAAGTCTGAGCCTCTCTTCAGTACGTATGCTATGTATGCCGTCCCTTTTCTTGTTTTATTATTTTACTATTATCTGAACAATGTGTTTATGTGTGCAAATGACATGAGGCTAAATGTCTTTGTTATGAATGATGTACTTTTACAGGATCTGCCGTCCACCATTCAGCCAAAGGGTCGGCAGGTAGATATATTTAGTTTTTCTCTCTACAGTTTGTTATTTATGTATGTCCTTGATCCTTTTCTGACCTTTACCTTTACTAAGCCAAAAGCACTTTCAAACCACATCATTGATATAACCTACAACTGCCATGAACTGAAGAGAAGTTAGATAAGTAAATAAATAAACAAAATTAACTCTCTATGTTTAGCTCCAAATTTGTGAATGTGAATGTTTCTCTTTCCCAAACAGACTGGTACTAATGACACCAGGTTTATCACTCCATAAACAGAAAAGGTCAAAAAACAGAATTAGTTTTGTTCCCTTTCTGTGTCACCCCGTAGATGACATGCATGCAATAATTTAACCCACAATCATGTCCAATAAAATCCTGTTGTTACCACCTACCACCAGAGGGCACTGCAGATCAGTAGTGCCCACCTGCCCTTGTCCCTGGGCTCCAGACTAACATTCAGGTGCACCAGCAAGGCTTTACGTGCACCAGACTTTGCAACAACAATTAAATAAATACAAAATACGTGAATTGGATGGAATGTTTTTGATTATACACATACACAAGAGGCAGACAGCCCGACGTAGGATTTCAGCTGGGTCTGGTACACCGCTCTGGAGCCCTTGTGTGTCCCACCCCCTCATCATTGTAGTGCTGCGTAGAGGATGCATATCGCTGCATGATGTGTGTGATGCTTTCAAATCCTAGATTGTTGCCAGACCTCCAATCAAGGACAAAATGTCTGTGAAGGTAAGATTTAGGGAAAACAACACAATATTACAACTTGCATATGTGCTGGACTTCAACTAGAGTGAAGATGTTTTATTTTGTCTTAATTGACACGTAGGCAGTCCCAGTGGCATCATTACCAGAGTTCAGGCGCTCATTACAGGTCCTATCTCACTGGAGAGGGCCTTTTTCCACCCTCATCTCTGCGCTCATTTTCTTGTACAAAAGATGCAGTCACTTCCACCTGTCACTTTGCAAACACAATCGCTTTTTCACAATCTGTAACTTCTCCTCCATTTTGTCCCTACAACAGATATATGTCCGAGCCCAGTTTGAGTACGACCCCTCCAAAGATGAACTCATCCCCTGTAAAGAGGCAGGAATCCGGTTTCGTGTTGGAGACATTATTCAGATCATCTCCAAAGACGACCATAACTGGTGGCAGGGAAAACTGGAAAACATGAAGAACAGCACCGCAGGACTCATCCCTTCTCCTGAACTGCAGGAGTGGTAAGAAAAAAAACCTTTATTAATCCATTTCTGGGTCGGGGGTGTGGCAATAGGAGCTGCACCCAAGAATAAAACCTTATAATTAAAATCAATGCATTTCCTTCACTGGTTTAGGATAGATACTTTTTATATTCAATTTATTTGACTTTGAATCTTCCCCTTCCTATCATTGTATTGAAAACTGTGAGCTACAATTTCTATGTCTCTATCATCCACAACAAAAACTTGAAAAATTCTGATTTAAGAAAGAAAAAAAATGTCTACTTTTTACTACTATTAGTCAACGTTGCCTAAAATGTTTTATTGATCATCTCACACAATAAAACTCTGAGTGTATATCTCTCATCTCAGCTTAGATTTAAAGAAAACTGACTTTGTATTGTTGTTTTAGTCGCACAAATGCGTGTTGTGTAATCTCAATCATGATAATCATTGTAAATTTCTCCAGCGTGAGATCAATAAAATATCTTATCTTATCTAAACACTGCTTTATACAGATGTTATGCCATTACGTTGTATAACCACCTCGGTAATGTCTCTTAAGAAACATGTCAAACCTTAAACATAAAGTGTGTGTTCTGTAGGCGTGTGGCGTGTATAGCCATGGAGAAGACCAAGCAGGAGCAGCAGGCCAGTTGCACCTGGTTTGGCAAGAAAAAGAAACAATACAAAGACAAGTATTTGGCAAAGCACAACGCAGGTAAGAAACCGGGATGACACACTCTGGCATGGGAGACACACCCAAGGCTTTTTCTAAGTGACAAACCGGTCCGGCCACGACGTAATGTGGCACCACCAAAGTCCGCATGTAAGAGAAGATTTTCCCTTTGTTGAAATCTCATCTGCGCTCTGTTGTGTATTCAGAATTCGTGTTCCACAGCTGTTTTCAGGCAGTGTCATGTGACTGCTGCCGGGGCCAAAGTCACGGCGCACGTGTTTTTAGACAGAAACGCTGACACAGGCAACATGTTGTGGAGGTTTGCTAATGATTGTCAAGTTTATCGGCTTGTTTTGGGTCAGTTCTATGATTACACACGCTGTTACCACTCCAGCCACAATGTCCCCATAAGCAGGACAAAAACACACAGATGCTACTCTTTAGGCACTGCAGATTTGTTGGAGTCCTGAGCTTTTAGAAAAGATAGAGGAATATTAAAATGAAGTACATAAATAAAGATTAGGAAAGGGATTTAATTTGTGGGAAGCCGCTGCATATCTAGTGCCCTGGAGTTTTAGGCTCTAACAGCATAGTTGATATAAATACTAGACAATATGAATATGATATAAAAGGACTATAGACAGTGCTACAAAACCTGCTTTCCAGACAGGTTTATGAGCAGCTTCATTGATATTTTTTCAAGTTCATACTCTTGTTTATTTTAACATAAACAATTCAATGTAATGGTAGTAGCATTAAAGGAGCAGTATGTACAAATCTGTACAAAAGTGGTACTGCAACCTTTCACTTTCCCTGACTCAGGTTGCTAGATATGCAGACGAATCCAGCTGGGACCATAATATCTGAATAGACAATTTTTTCAAGAACAAATCTATAACCAACACCTTTTTCACAAAGATTGAAATCCTGGTTTTATTCCTTGTTTTGACATTTGGGTTAAAACATGATAAGGAATACTGTGTTTTCTGTTGAACATATCAATATAGAATAGGTTGGAAATGATCTTTTTTGGTATAATCTGGCAAATGAGTACATAGCATCATTCCAGAATAAAAAAGTCGTACACGTTAGTCACTTCTTTCCAGATTGATGGGAAACATAAGGTGTTTGTTGAATGTACAAAACATTTGAAATGTGTTTTTATTTCTTTATTTTCATAAAATGGAGATTGCATTTCAACAAATGTATAATTTGTTTGTTTCTTCCCAATGCAAAACAGTAGTGACATAACTCCAGGTGACATTTTTAGTGAAGCCAGTGCACCATAGTCCTGGCGTACACGGAAACTTTGCTGTGGGACGTATTTTGGTCGGGTCGACCTCGGATTGCATGTCCGGATTGTGTGGTTCAAAGAGGTCAAAGCAGTAACACCTGTTTAATGACCAAGAGACCGGAGCAGACCACCGTGGCCTCCAGCTAAACTAGACCCTCCACACACGCCCACGCCACTCCGACTCGCAGCGGCACATGGCTCATTGGGTTGTGCGTTCGTGAGCCAAAGTCTGAGTCAGTGTCACTGCGACTCCCAAAACACAATCGGTTCCCCATCATTGAGTTTGTTTAATATTCTGCGGTGACACTTCACGAGTTGGGCTGGTGTCATAGTTGAGACTCGGGTGTCATCTTGTGTAGGAAAAGCTGTACAGTATGTTCCCAGCAGCTGCTATGTGCGAACAGGGAATCTGAGACTCCTCCAACCGACCGTCTACTCACTGCAGCCCTCTCCACTGACTCTGGGGTGAAGGCTGAAGTCTAGAATCATGAAAGACGCAAAGAAAATGGGAGAATAACTGCATTTTCATTAATAGTTATGGAAGCTGGGGTACCTTGTTTTTCAAACCATAAAAATGGAAAAGAATGGAATAAATTGGACCCCATTTTATAAGCTTTGCAGAGCTTTTTGGGGAGTCCAATTTTTACAATAGTCACACAGATATGCACACAAACTTTAAAGGTATTTAATATCTGTGCTGATGTCAAAATAAACAAGTAAAACTATTGTAGTTTCTCTCTCGAAAGAGTGTGGTTTTCTTGTTTTTCTAGTAAGATAAAGACAGCTTGTTGTGTGTTGGGACAAAAAGCATGTGTGGGTTAAGAAACAAGAAAGTTAGGTACCGCAGCTTTAATCTATGCATCTTATTCAAATGTCAAAATAGAGTGACATCTGTATATTAGTCAAATCTGCAGAGCAACCTCCCATAATGGTCAGAGATTTAGAAGGTCATGGTAGCACAAGTTGGGCTTTTAGTTCAACTAGTTCTACAGTAGCATGTGTAGTTTTATATCCTACACCCTCACATTGTTTTGATTATTAAGATATTTATCATGAAGTTATCGAACAGTATGAAAACATGCCCATTTTTAATATCTGCCATACATTCTTAGTTTGCAGCTCTATCATGCTTTTACTCATTAATCAATTGCCTTCAGATTGTATTCAGATGTATCCACACTAAGTTTCTCGTAGGCAATGTTATGTTTTCCTGTTTTTCTGTGTAAACCCTGCTGCTTTTTTGAGTGCAATCTAACTTTGTGGTTGTAATGATCCCTTCTGTCTCATCTCTTTTGCTTGCTTCTTCTGACTGGCCTCTGCATGTAAGTAACAACCAGTGACAGTGCATTTTTCTCTTGTTCTTTCATCCACGATAGAACGCTTTCACTGAAGACTTAGTGAGTTTTGTTTCTGCCTGTGAATGCGTCGGCAGAAACGGAAACCTAGAAAAGAAGCCGCTGCACTGAACTGCAGTCAGTCTAAAAGTTGTTTGTAACTTGAGGCCGGCCCCATGACTGTTGTGGCTGCTCGGCTTTAACTAACACTCACTTCTGCTCTGTCTCTTCAACACCGCGGGCACCAGGGGATTGTGGGGATTGTGTTCCACCTCACGGCTCCAACATAGCATTCGAGTTTAATTCTAGAGCCGTGAGAGTGATATTGAAGTCGTGAAGGATAGTTTAACTTACTTGCTTTCAAATGGTTACAAAGGATGAATAACCTGGATTAGAACGTACTGTGTTTTTTGTTATCTGTTTGTACAAAAGGAAAACACATATGTTTTAGATGCTTTCACAATATACAACCTGGTATGACTCACATTAGGTTCTGGTACATAAAGAACATTTGAGACTTTTGAACAAAGAAGTGCAAGAGGGCAGTGACAGTTCTTATATTTGCCAAATCAAACAGAAATATGATTTGAGGGGTATTTACAGAATCTTATGTTGTAGTTGGATTATTGTTGGATCAGAAATCAATCCTACTGCCTCTTTCTAACCCTGTTGTTGTTTGTTTTGTTTTTTTCTGCAGTGTTTGACCAACTAGACCTTGTCACGTATGAAGAGGTTGTAAAACTCCCTGCTTTTAAAAGGAAAACACTAGTTTTGTTAGGCAAGTAACAATTATATTATTATACATGATAATGAGAGTAAGGCTGATGTTCAGTGTGTGTTTGCACAGGGGCTCATGGTGTGGGCAGAAGACACATAAAGAACACGCTCATAACCAAGCACCCAGACAGATTTGCCTACCCGATCCCACGTAAGGCTTCGGTCCATGATGGCATCGCTGTCTGTTGCATATTTTGTGCCTTACACCTCCACTCCGCTCTGCAGACACGACCAGACCTCCAAAGAAGGACGAAGAGAATGGGAAGAACTACTTCTTCGTCTCCCACGACCAGATGATGCAGGACATCAGCAACAACGAGTACCTTGAGTACGGCAGCCACGAAGACGCCATGTACGGGACGCGGCTCGAGACCATCCGCAAGATCCACCAGCAGGGCCTCATCGCCATCCTGGACGTGGAGCCGCAGGTCCGCTCACTCCCTCTCTTTGGCAATAGTGCGTAATGTGCGCAGCAAACATGTGTGTAAACGTCCTTTTGTTTTAGGCCCTGAAGGTTTTGCGGACCGCTGAGTTTGCTCCATATGTCGTCTTTATCGCCGCACCAACCATCACGCCAGGAATAAATGAGGTACACAGAGAAAAGACTTCCACTTTTATAATGTTTTCCATCTCTGCCTCAGTACTCTGCTTTTAATCAGGAGTGTCCAAACTTGGGGCTCACGGGACAACATTTGGTCACGTTTTTGGTCAAGAATTTTAAGGAATATTTTATGAAGATACAGTTTTGGGACATAATCATGGCCTGTAGACTCAACTGTATTTTCACTATATTGACAATGTAAATGATAAAGGACTATCTAATCACATTACTCTTCACAAATAAATATTTTGATCGAACCCAAAATTCCGTTCCCCTTCGCACGACAAGACATTAATTTTGTCCTGACGATTGAAAAAGTTTGGGCACCCATGGTCATAATTTATGGTTTGTGTTTGTGTCTGCACGTCTCTCACATCTTTGCACTTGTTTTGCATGCTGCATGTTTTTATTTGGGCATTTCCTGCAGATACCAAGGTGGTGTCGATCACTTACAGTAAGTAAGCTGTGACAAAATATTGTCCAAGTTTTAGAACAAAGCGCCACACTTGGACCCATGTGATACCGAGTGGGGGCAGCTGAGGCTCAAATGAAGTGAACCTGGACTAGAACAGTTCTTTCAAGCTAATCTTTAAACTATAGGTGGTTATGACTTCAATTACATTCTGGAATTTGTAATTAGTGACTAAAGTAATTTACATTCTCCTGCATTCAAATTGCCATTGCTCTGACAAATCCCGTTTTCCTTTTGTGCTTATGCCACAGAATCCAGTTGCGCAGTTTCTTTTATTAAAGATGCAGTCAGTGATTATTTTCCAGACGCATTTTTTTAAATATTGTGAGAAAACGTCCCTAAACCCTAAAAGTAGTCAAGTTATGTGTTTTCAAATAGTATTGGAATTTACCAGATGCGTATAGTCTCCAAAAATGAAATAAAAGTATTTTGGAGCGGACCAATAAAAATACTGTTTCTCACGAGCGCACCTGAGTTATTTGATTTTCTAAAACCTAAAAGGGCTGAACAGATAATGCCAATTTCATGTTTGCCACCCACTCTCCCTGTTGTGACAAAGGAAAGAAAATGCTGGATGTTTGATTTTGGTGGAGAGGGGAGGGGGGAGTAGTTTTGATTTGGTGCTACGGCTAAGCTAACAACATCGCTAACTGTACCTTTAAGTTATTTTTGAGAGTTCATAGATTTTCAATTAGGTTTATGGTGTATAGGCAAAACCACAATAAGCCTAAAATAAATGTCCAGCTCTTCTCATCCCAGTAAAATGACACATCCCTTTACTTTAGGACAAAAAGTGTAGAAAATGTAAGTATCATGTTGTGTGTATGTCACTGTGTGTCACTCTCTGCAGGACGAGTCCCTTCAGCGGCTGCAGAAAGAGTCCGAAATCCTCCAGAAGACGTACGCGCACTACTTTGACCAGACTATTATCAACAATGAAATCGACGAGACCATTCGGCACCTGGAGGAGGCCGTAGACCTGGTGTGCACGTCCAGCCAGTGGGTGCCTGTGTCCTGGGTTTACTGACCTCCACCCCCCCCTCCCCCCATCCCTTCTGCGATCTTCTACCTTAACGCCAATAACGTCGTCTCTTCAAATGCCAAAAGAAAAAAAAACACAAGTCATGGGAGAACTTTGTACACTGCACTTGGATGGAGAAATACTCTGCATACTGTGAACACAACCACAGCATCGGATCGGAACTGACTCCAAAAAACGCTGCGCAAACACGAAAGGCAGCCTCGACAGACAACCTCGTCATATCGTTGTAAAAAAAAAAAACAAACAAAAAGAATAAAGTGAATATTGTCATGTCTGTATTAGCTACAAGGCGACATTTTCTGTTTGTTTCTGAAAGAGACAGTGCCATGTCCCCATATTTTAGTTTGGTTTTTCATTCATTGTGGTCTTGCTCATTCACAAAAAGACAATGCCAGTGGACGACAACTCCCAAGTATAAGCACACAGACACGGCAACGTCTCCCAAACCGTTGTATGTATTCATGAAGCATTCCCATTTTTGACGAGCTGTTTATGTCTGGTTACATCTTCAGCATGGACGGGTACTGTCTCTTAACAAAAGCATTGTTAGAGATTTGAATGAGATTATTGTGCATGTGGACATTTGCAAGTATCCAAGCCATCAGTCAGTGTTCCCTGTGCCCCTGTGTAAACCTGGAACGAAGGAAACATATTTTAAAACATTCCAGCGGTTTGAAGGACTGAGCTCGACCCAGTGAAAAGGAGTAAAAAAAAATAAACAGGATTGGCCTCTATGCACATCCCATATGAAGAAATGGTTCGAATTGAAACATTTCTAAGCGTTGATCATGTAGTGAGATGTGTTTGTATAAATAAAGTTAAAGTCTGGTTTTCCGTTTTGCATTATTTACAACAATCACAAATATTGAAGATACTGCTATTATCTGGAGGGCGGCAGCTATAGGTTATTTTAATAATCGAGAGCTTTGGAAAATGTTTATGGATACAAACAATCGTAATACTGCTGGAGCTCAGAATATTCTGTAGATTAACTAAGTAAGCTAGTAATTTTTGCACTGAACATCTCAATTTTGAATATAGGTTTTTCAAAAGTAGAGTATGATTCATTGTTTAAAAAGAAGTTCTGTGTGAAATAACATTTTGATTGAATATCTTTTGCACTACAGTGTCGACAAAACACGGACACGGCTCCATGAGAAACAACTTATCAAAGCTTTTTTTAACTATACATTCCAGTTATGATTTGAGCCCTGATCACTGTGTAAGATGTGTCTATTCACTCTGTTTAGTCCCTATGAAAACTAGAACTTCTTTTTGAAAGTATTAAGTTACTTTTTTATGAGCACTATATGGCAAATATCTAAAACTCCTACACAAAAACACAGCAGTTCAGAGGGCACAGATCTTATGAATGATGAGGGTAAATATGAGTGGATGAGGCGCACAGCAGCCTTCCCAGTTCTTCCCAAGCGCAGCCTAATCCCACATTAAAGGGTGAACGGGCCAGTGGCAGATTACACCATCAAGGTCGAGCTGTTTCCATGCCAACAGAATTGAATACATATTTTATTTAGCAAAAAAATATATAGAAACAGAACAGTCATGTGTCAAATACTGTTGTAGTACTGCCTTTGGATCCTTTTCAGTTACATTCAGCAAAATAACAAGACATCATTTTTGTGAATGTCTTCGAGATTACGTCTTTGTTGATGTCTTGAGCATGTGGCAGCGTCTGGAAAGTGTCCACCAGACTCTGGATGTCAGGAAACTGCAGCAGTCCATTCTTCATATAACGCTGTGCAACACACCACCACAGAGAGCTGAAGCACTAAGAAGATTAATGCATTTATGGAAAAGCTGGCACTCCCACATTAGTTTTTGAAGAGAAACAGCAGAGGACATCTGCTTGGAGATGATGAGAGCAAACAGCTCTGATCTGATTTTTACACATAAATGTGTAATGAAAATTCAAACAACACTAAGAAGACTACATATCTATATGATTATCATTACATAATATTAATTAAAATGACTATTATGCAACAACAAATAGATATTTCATCACATTTCCACAATAATCTACAGTTTGCCGCAGAACCCTCCTGTATAAGATTCTGTTACTTGTTGAGCCACACTTTAGTAACACACCAGTGTCGTTAAAACATTTGCCTCACTGTAAAAACACATCCTTTGTTTTTCAAGTGCACAACGGGACGTAGCAGTCACTGATGTGTGACAGCAGAGCCCAGAACAGCAGGATCCAGATCCACTGGTTTGTTCCCAGTGCTGAGGCCTGGTCTGACAGCTGCGCCTCCTCGGACTCCACAGCAGTCCCATTCCTCAGACTCTCCGAACTGTTGCCCATTTCCTCCTTCAGTTCCTGTTGAAGGAGCTTTGAAATCAGACTATTGAATTTATTCTCGGTAGTGGAGCCGACCTCTGAGGACGCTGTGGTCAGGTTGAGCTCTGCCGGATCCACACATGTGCCATTGATCTTAGAAAACACCACTTCACTTAGATCCAGTCCCGCTACCGAAGATGGAGACGCACACGGGACGTCCCTCACCAGTTTGTAGCTCTCCATCCACTCCTTCAACCACTCCAGGCCACAGTCGCATTCCCAGGGGTTTCTGAACAGATAAAGGCGCCCCAGGAGGTAGATGGGCTGGAAGACTGGGAAGGGGAGCGTGGTGAGGTTGTTGCTGTTCAGATGAAGAGTGATCAGACTGGTCAGGTTTTCAAATGTGCCTTCTTCAATGAACACCAACTGGTTCCTGTCCAAATAGAGGACCTCCAGCTCCACCAGATCACTGAACCAGGTCTTGGATACGTTGGTCAGCTGGTTTCCCCCGAGGTTGAGCATTTTGAGGCAGCTGAGGCCCTGGAAAGCGACCCGGGGGAGAGTGGAGAGCAGGTTGTCGTTGAGGTAGAAATTCTCCAGACGCAAGAGGTCCTGGAAGGCCTGGTCGTGGATCACATTAATGCGGTTGTCCTGGAGGTTTAGGTACCTGCCAGACACAAAAATGAGTCAAACCACCGACGTTATTACAGCAGGGGGGAGAGATTGTTAAAGAAAGCTGAACTTGTCTATGTAAAGCACAAGAATGTACATTTCTCCATTGTCAGATCATTAAAGTCTATCTAATCTTATTCTAACAATACAATTGATGTGTGTGTGTGGGTATATATACTGTACATATTTATAACTTATATATTTTTCTTTTTGCTTTTTTTCATCCCGTTTTATAATTCTTATGGTTTGCTTTGTTTTTTGTTTGCTTTGAGTGAGAGATCCTTTATGCGTCCCACAGTGGTAAATTTAAAGTAATAAAACACTATACTAAAATAACAAAATAAAAAATAAAAAATCTCTAACCCTAGCATAAAAAGAATATAATATAGGAGGATTTTTCCAAATTTTAGAAGATTTTTGAACAAAACTCTCTGGTCTTATTTGACGAACACATATCAGCAGAATGATTGACAGTTAGGAGGACCAATAGTCTTGATGATCCACCCGGAAGTAGAAAATCCTCCTATATACCTTTGGATTGAGTTGCATTCTCAATCCAATACATTTTCAACTAGAATGCCCTTTTGAACTTCCCTGCTGTCAAACTTAGAATAATCTTATGTCAGAAGAAAAAAAAAACGTTTAAAGCATTGAGTGAAACAAGGCCCGGGCGGTGGTGGATTTAACCCCACCGCAGGAACTGGACTTACTTGAGATTGGTCAGACCCAGCAGTGAGTTGTAAGCCACGGCCTCGATTTTGTTCCTCTCCAGGTAGATGTGGGTGAGGTTCTCCATGCCGCGGATGGATCCCGGGATCCTGCGGAAGTTGTTCTGGAAGCAGAACAGCTCCTTCAGTGCGATCTGCTCGATGAAGATTCGGTCTGGGATGTTGAACAGGTTACAGTCAGACATGTCCAGTCGCACTAGTTTCTTCAGGCCGGTGAAAGTGCGAGTGTGGAGGTAGCTGATGTACTCGTTGTGCGCCATTCTGAGGTCAATCAAGTTGGACAGACCCTGTAGATGAAACACAAAAGGATTGTTTCAGGTCAGCCAGGAGAGTCATGTCTGGGGGAAGAGGGAATATCACAGGACAAAAGAAGGGCACTCTTACACCTTAAAGGTAAAGTGTACTTTATTTATCCATCCATTCATCCATCTTCTTCCCCTTAATCCATAAATCTGGTTTGGGGGATGGCAGTCAGAGCTGCACCCAGTACACAGAGCACCAGCCCCTCACTGATCCTCCTGCAGGTGGAGAGTCCACAGGAGCCTTGATCTTTCAGCAGGGGCTTCAGGTAAAGCAGGGTTAAGTGTCTTGCCCAAGGATACAACGACAGCAGACATCAGTGGCAGTCATGAAGTAGTTCTTTGTGGGTTCGAATCCAAGACCTTCAGGCCCAATGGTCATTGCTCTACCAACTGAGCCACTGTCGCCTCACTTCATTTATCCCCGTGGGGTATTTCATTCTCTGCATTTGACCCATCCTGATGCCACTGGGAGTCAGGAGCTGGGGTCACTGCAGTACAGCGCCCAGAGACTTATCTCAGATGTTGACACTTGCTTGGTGAACTGAAGGGTTCTGAATTTTAACTATTGTGCATGTTTTCAGTGGTAGGGGAAACCTGAGCACCTGGAGGAAAACGTACGCAGACATGGGGAGAAACTCCACTCAGAAAGGCCCTGTTCCGACCGGGATTCGAACGCAGGACTTTCTCGCTTCTCGAAGCAAGAGTGCGATCTACTCAGAACATAGGTCCCACTGATTCAGTATGACATAGGGTACACCAAAAATACCCTTATGTGGAATAGATTCACTATGGACTGGTGTTTCTCAAGGGAGACTTTGGGGGTACAGAGATAACTAGGTGAGTATTTGAATAAACAATGTTAAGGCTTAGGTATACTTCACTCAGAAGGGCCTGGGCTGACACAAGATCAAACTGAGAGCACTTTTTGTGTCTCAGTTTGATGCTCGAGTGCTCAGCAAAGACAACTACCGCTCAACCACCATCACCAAAAAGAAAAGGGATTTTTAAAATGTGCCTATACAGGGATTGCCTGCTTTACCAACCACATACTCTACAGTGTTGTGAATAGAACAATGAACTTAAAAAGAAAGCCAAACACTGAAATGACTGAAGCCTACCTTGAAAGCCCCAGGAGTGATAAAGGAAATGTTGTTGTGGTCCAGGGACAGGGACTTGAGGGAGGGCAGGGTCCCAAACGCTCTTTCTGACAGAAACTTGAGTCTGTTCTTGTCCAGGTTGATGGAGGAGGCCTCGCAGGGAAACTCTTTGGGCAGCTCGGCCATGGCAGTGCGGTCACACAGCACAGAGCAGCTCCTCTCCTGTGTACAGGTGCATGAGGGGGGGCAGGCGCGCGCACACGCCCACCGACCCACCACCGCAACTGGCATCAGGCACAAGACAGACACTGGGGACCACACAAACACCAGTGTAAGTCCTTTTACCTGTGGCTATTTTCATACTGCTGATAAAGATATAACATTTTATAACTAGTTGGTCAGAGTCTGAGCTGATGTTTTGTTTTTTTTCAGGGAAAAAATTGCACAAATGTAGGTTCAACATTTCAATCACATTCATGTTAATATCATATTAGGGCTCTCATCTCCTGTGGTCACTCTAGTTAAACTAAATGTACAGTCAAAAAACACACAAAAACTGACCAGTGAAAATGATGATGGTCATTACTGTTGCCTCTCAAGTGGGACATGCCAGGATTAACGCAGATCTGAAAAACGTAAAGTCCAAAGGAAATTATGTTTATACCATCACCAATTAAAATGAGAAACTAAAGAATAGTCACTTACCTTCACTTGTTGCCAGGCATCCATGTGTGCTTAAAATGAGTTTAAAAAGCCCCAAGAGCATTCTAAACTGCGGCTGTTTGCAGCAAAGGTCTACAGCAGCCTCCGGGCTCAAAACAGTGTGTGCGTCTGCACTGCACCCTGCTCTACATGTGTGTGTTCATTATGACACACACCAAAAAGCCATCTCTTAATGGCACTCAAATCCCCTGGATGGAGGGATGAGGAGAGGCTGGTTGGCGGGATTACAGAAGTAATGCGTGGTTTTCCAGATGCACCAGACGAAACATGCGGTAACTTACAAAGACATTAGAGTTACTGAACACACGGTCAAGTTAATGTAAAACTTGAAATGCACAAATGCAGATGTTGAAATGGATCAGATTACCAAGCCATCAGTAGCAAATCATGATGGACTAGGATCAATTTGATGAATTGATTTAATAGAGAGAACATAAGAGTCTAAATCGCACATGCGCCACTGACCTAAAAACCCCAATTCTGACAATGACCAAAATGACACAGCAGCGCAGCGGTTTATTATAAAAGTCTGACACAGAGCAAGCTGACCCACAGAGGGGCACGTAGACCTCAGAAACAGGGGAATCAGATGAACACTAAGTTCCACAGATATATTTAAGTAATAGTAGAGGGAAAAAGTGAATCTTTCCTTATTGATGGTAAGTGGTTGGGTTCAACACTTTGAGCGCAAGTTCACCAGAGTAAACTGCAAAATAGCCATTGTCTAGATTTAAAAGAGAACTCAGTGCATTTAACTGAATTTCCCTTTAGAGTGAATATTTTTGCCATTAGCCATAACTTGCCCTCCAACCAGAGTCAATCTCTTTAAAGGCTTGTACTCTGTGTGACTGTGGCACTTTGTCTCATTTGGAAACCTTATTTTTCCAAATGAACATTTGGCTCAATGCAAACTTAAATGTGTTCTGAAAACCTGACAAGAATACACAAAACCCATTTTTCAATTGATTTAATTTATTCAAAAAACCTCTAAATTTAAAAAGTTAATACATAACCATTGGATTTGAGAAAGAAAAACTAGCTTGTCTCAAACTACTGGAGGTGTTGAACACTACTCTAAATATCTTTGAAACTACAAATAAAAGGTCTGGTTCCATCAGTTTCTCAAACTAAATGTAGTTCTCTTACAAAGCTGATCTAATTGTGACAGGTCTTGTGTGTAGAAGAGAAAAGATTGCAAGCTGTGGTCAGAATTGTTCACATGTAATTTAAACAACTTATTTCACAACATTTTGTTTGTTCAAAAGTTGGCTATTGTGAACCTGAGATTTTGTTCCCAACTAGTGCTTTACCATAAGCACTGACCCAGTGTGTGTCTGCTGAATCAAACCCACCTTACATGTTTTAAAGATTGGCTTTTGGCCAAAGAAACACATCACCAGACCTATGCATGTTACTTGAGAATAAATACAAGAATAAAGTGTCAGAATAAATACAAGTCACACGTTGTAGTGTATAAATGAAAACTTTATAGTTCAAAAAGAAGCCCATCCAATCCATATCAAATTTAATTCAGCGTGCTGTGTACCCTGTATTTACAAGACAACAGGCTGCTTGCTACAGGTGTCTTCTGCACAACTACAGTAAACATGTATTCGGAAAACATGCTTGATTTTGCCAGATCGTTTTGCATTCAAACATTTTATTTTGGTAAAATCATACAATTGCACAGCTGAGTATTTCCCATGCCGTGCAGTAGCCTATAAGCTAATACAGAAAGCAAAGTCTACATCTAAAGAGCCTCGGGTTCTTGACTAAACATGAAACAAGTCAAGAACAGGCCCGCTCCACATGGAACCAGAACCCAGGGCTTCCATATACGCAAATACAACAATGAGAATTAACCACATGTTTGTTACTTTAAAGGATTGCCATGTGCCAGACATTCACTGGAAAAAATTCTGGTCAAATTAGAGAAACAATTGTTAATGCACACATTTGGAGAATCGTCACACTTCTGCACTGATGCTAGGAAATTTAGTTGCTTTTGAAAGCTTTATTCCAAACCTTGGCAGATTTGTTCCATGTTCAATTTTTGCTCACCAAATATGAATCTAGTTTAAGTGACAAAAACCTTGCTAAGGACTTGTCACAACTGGATATTTTTGAGTCGCATGTATTTTAACATTTAAAAAGCTCACACTACCCCGAAAAAGAAATTTCACGCACACAGGTGACATTCAACATTCAAGTGCCAGTGTTTTTGTAATGTCTTTTGGTCAAGTTTCTGAAACTTTCAAAGAATCACTTTGAGGCTTACAAAAATAAATATTTGTCAAAAATGCTTAATAAATTACACAAAACTAGCAGCAAAAGTAGAATCTAGAAATCTGTGCAAATGGCTAAATTCCCAACTGCTAAATCCCCTGGTCCCAAATAAATCCTGTTTTAACATCGAGAACCCTTCCCCTTTTGTAAACAAGCTGCGTTTCTCAAACTCCTCACACAATATTTGGAAGCTTAAGGACACATATTCAAAGACATCCATATAAAACTCTAGATGTGCAATAAAAGAACTGTAAAACTTGATGGGCACAATGAAACAAGGGCCTACACACCAAAATCAAGTAGCACCATTCATTCAAGTTCTCGCCACTGTCAGTGCATCTGCGTATAGCTCAAATTCTTATAAAAGTTTTCAAGGCACGACACCCCGCCTCTACGGCCTCTGGCTTCGCTTCACCAGAGTCTAGTGGATTTCGACGCAAACTTCCGGAGATCTGCCCGTACCCGCGAGTACTGTGCAGTTGACTAAAGTCTAAACCACTGACGAAGGCGATGCACTTCAAACCACTACCTGAGCCTGTTCCGTTCCCTCCCCGAGAGAGTGCTGCCCCCTGCTCCTCCAAGTTCAATTCAGAGACCAAATGCCCGTCTTCAGATGACCCTGCCTCCAACGCAGCTTGAAAAGAGAAAACGTTTGTAATTAAGTTAAGCCTGCGACTCAGTACACTTGTCCTTCCTTCTTGACCAAAAAACAAAACACTTGCAAGCGTAGAATACCATTTGGGCCTGTTGGTTGTGCACAGATTCAGTAATGCTCACCACAGTGCAGCCTTCCTGATGCTGTGGTCCTTTGTCCAGTCATTTTTTTGAACCCTCACTTTCAAGATGGCAGGCATTTTACTTAAATTATTTCAAGAGGAAAAAACAAACTTTTCTTTTACATTTTGCACACATGCCTGCACCATAATGTCAAGTAAAAATTAACACAAAAACACCACCCACTTAGTGTAGCTAGCACTTAGAACATACTAGCTGCCTTAACACTGTCAAGTCAAACAACAACTGCGGAGTAACATGTTCCAGCATCAATTATTTTGGATCCTCAGCGAGTGTTGGCACTGAGCTTAATGACTTCTGTGTTTTAAGATGAATCACAGGAATGGCTATTTTAAAGACTCCCAATCCTAGTTTTTTTTAAAAAGGAGCCTGTCCAGGATAGAGTGAGCCAAACAAAAGTAACCTTGTCCTTGAGGATTAAAATACAGTTGCTTTACAGTGGCACAGATTATAGATGACATTTATGGCTCAAAAAACTGTTCCAACTGCAAAATAAAAAAGCTACATGATGTTCGTGCAGTAAATTTAAGTTCAAATGGAGTTGTGACACTGAAGCCACAAAACCCAAGTATTTGCCAAGGTTTGATTAAGTCCATGCTGAGTTATGAAATAAAATAAACACCAATTTAGAACTCTTGGCCATGTTCATCTGATGAAATGAAAACAGATTCCTGTTTAAATTCAAAAGGCACAGTACATTAACATACAAATGATCCTCAGGTCGATTGTTTTTTCCACAAAAAAGAACAAAAACACTTTAAACAACGAATGTCCGAGGTTGCTATCGGACAATGCATGTATGTCAGCATCCACGCTCACTCCGAGGTGTGCAAATCTCTGCTCTCCGGGGCCGGCACATGCTGGTACTGGTGTGCGGCACGCTGCAGTTCCCATGTGGGACTAAAGGAATGGCAGAGAACCAGGGTTGGTAATGTACTGTGTGTCAGTGAAGCTACACAGGGAAGGTTGTTGTGTCTGGCGAAAGTTAACATGTGGTTTCCTTTTGGTTGGTTGACAAGGCAACCTTTTCCTATGGTGACTAGTTGCCCCACCAGTCCACACTACCAGAGTGGCTATAATTTCCTCCATAGCCGTCATTGTTGTAGAAGTTTCCACCACCAAATCCACCTAAAGAGAGATTATATAATGTTAAAGCCTTGCTTTACGTGAGGCAAAAGTGTGGACAGCCAGAGGACCATTGCACTTACCTCCACCAAATCCACGGTTCCCTCCATGGCCTCCAGCGCTGCGTCCTGTGCGGTTAGTGCTGAAGCCTCCTGAACCGGGCGTCTGGCGGTAATCTCTGGCTCCAAAGCCCCCAGAGAATCTGAACATGAAACAACTCTTAGCAGCTGAAAACAGGTAATATAGTCAAAACATCTTTGACTGGCGTACCTCTTTGATCGTCCACGCCCACTGCTCTTGTGCTGGTGCTCGTATGCCAGGCTCTCGAGCCAGGATGGCACCTCCTGCTTTGCTTCGACCAGGATGTCCAACAAATCTTTGGTTATATTGCTGTTTTTGTCGTTAAAGAACGACGTGGCCAGACCTGTATGAGTGAAAGGATTTAGTAAAGATTCAGGGGGAGAAATAACATTCAACCCCTAAAAAAAAAAAAAAAAAAAGTAACTTGCCCAGATTGCCCACACGTCCCGTACGGCCAATACGATGGACGTATTCCTCAATGTCACTGGGCAGGTCAAAGTTTATCACATGCTTCACATTACTGATGTCCAGGCCTCTGGCTGCGACCTGAGGAAGGAGAGCATACGATTAAAGATGTACAGGTTGAGATGACTGGTTATGTCGTCGGTTCAGTCACATACCGCTGTCGCCACCAGGATTGGGCAGCGTCCAGAACGGAACTGATGCAGCGCCTCCTCTCTGTCTTTCTGGGAACGGTCTCCATGGATACTGGTGCAAGAATAACCCTCACGGTAGAGGTAGTCTTCCAGGGAATCAGCCCCTTTCTTTGTTTCCACAAAAACCAGGGTCAAGGAATCTTTTCCTATGACGCAACATAAATGGTTAATATGATACTGCCAAAGCAGCATCGCCACATTAAAACAGACAAAACTACAAAAAGTACAATCTACAAATGACACATGGGACAGTGCAAAATATGGGCACCAGGAAAACCATAAACTGGGGTTCAAGTTATGACCAAAAAGGATGTTTACACTCTTCATTACTTAATATGGCCATCAGAAGTGCAGATGGATGATAACTTGGAATCAAAAACTGTCTTTAAATGAATGGGGGAGGGGGTGACTGTTTCAAAAATTGTCACACTAGTCAAATAGTCAAAAGCTGCTAGGTCTATATGCAAACCAAAGGAAAAAAAAATAATAGCAGGGGGATGAGCTGTGAGATGGTCATGTTTGGGCTGTGGGGAGGGGGGTATACATATTCAGATACTTACCAGGCTTCTCTGGGGTCTCTGTCACATTTTCCTGAACCTCACTGGGAATGACTAAGATAAAAACCAAACCACACGCAATGCTGCTCAGTCCAACTGCTCCACATTTTAAACTTCACAACATAATTACATGACATGACTAACTTCTTAAAGCCAGCAAACTGCTCTTCAAGGACTTTGAAATATATATTTTTGCCAATTTTCTTTTTTTATTTAACCAGGAAAATACCCATCGAGATAGAGAGCTCTTTTTCAAGGGAGTCCTGGCCCTACAATTTTTATAAAATTTATTCCATTCTTTCTTAAAATCTTTATCAATATAAGTGTCATCCTGAAACAATACATCTTAACATTACCCCCAAACCTTGTTTTAATCCTTGCTTAAAAAAATACATGGAACTCATCATACCTGTAGCATTTAGAAGATCAAGGAGGAAGGACCTCTTGTCGCCCTCTTCAACCCAAACAACCTTCTGAGTGATGTTTTCTGAAGTTGACCCAACACGGCCAACTGCCAGGAAAATATAGTCATCCAGAAAATCCCGAGCTAGGATCTGTGCAACAATATATATATATTTTTTAAAAGGAGCAAACTACAAAATTCATTATAACAGTAACAAAAATGACCTGGATTTCTTTTGGAAAGGTGGCGCTGAACATCATAGTTTGGCGGATGCCCTTGGGGGGCATAGTGTCCTGTTCAACAATACGCCTGATTTGAGGTTCAAAACCCATGTCCAACATGCGATCAGCCTCATCCAGGACCAAGAAGCTAAACACATGTACTTGTTTTAGCATCACAAAACAAGAAAAATAGCTGTACAATCTGACAATCTTTAGACATACTTGCAGTAGTCCATGCCAATCTTCCCCCTCTCCATCATATCGACCAGCCGTCCTGGAGTTGCTACCAGCAGATGGCAGCCCCTCTCCAATTCCCTGATTTGTTGACCAATATCTGCACCACCATATACGACACAAGGACGTACACGGGAGCGATACGCAAACTAGACATTCATAAAGGGGAACGTTCAGTTCAACATGGTCAGATCTTGGTATGGCCAAAATAATTTCACCTTGCGTGCTTCATCATAGATCTGCAAAGCCAACTCTCTGGTAGGAGCAAGGACCAGAGAAAGTGGATACTGCTTGCGGCGACCATACCTTCCATTCTCCTGCAACACAATTTAAAATATATATTATTAATAATTAAAAATCTACTACCCTCATATTAAGATTATTGATCTGTACCTGTCCGTTTTTGGATGCTTGAAGGGCCTCTCCAGGGCCATCTGTGTAAATCTGACTCAACACAGGCAACAAGAAGGCAGCAGTCTTACCAGAGCCTGGGAAAAGACAAGAAACTAAGCACAGAGCACCTGGCTTTCCATGCAAGTTTCAGTAACAAGAATACCTGTCTGGGCACAGGCCATCAGGTCCCTCTTTCCCTTGATGATTGGGATTGCATATTTTTGAACTGGGGTGGGTCGAGTGTAACTACTGAGAGCGATGTTGCCCATTATAATCTCACCCATGTCGACATCACTGAACTACAGAGGAATCAACAGGGTGTGAGCATTTCATAAAAAAACCAACTGAATCAAAAATTATCTGGGAGGTTCTTACAATATCAATGTGTTCTGGGCAGTCATTTCCAGTAGCCTCCACAGGAATGTCGTCATATTTCTCAAAGTTGATGCCAGTATTACCTCCAGCAAAGAGCTCACTGAAATTAAAACCATGATGAAGTTAGTCACTGTTGAGTAGCAGAGATGGTGGGACAGTCTTACTTTTCCACACGCTCATTGCGGGCAGTGGGTTTAGACCAGTCCTCTTCTCTTGTTTCTTCCCACCGATTTCCTCCAGATCCCCCAGAGTAATTTCCACGCTCAAATCTGTGGTGTAAACAATGTTATACAGGCTAGTCATCTGGAGTCCAAGACATAATAAACTGGGCTACAAATGAGCACTCACCGTCCTCTTGATGAACTCCCCCCACGATCACTGAAGTTTGACTTGGATCGATCATTGTTGCGTCCTCCAAAACTGCTGTAGGCAGCATCTCTCTGAGCATCTCTTGAAGCTCCTCCCCAACCCCCGTCTTTATTTTCATAATTGCCAAAACCTACGAACGGATAAACATTTGATTCAAATGGCGCAAACAAAACAAGCAGAGGAATGCTTTGACGAGAACTGCAGTATCTACATCTGATGGAACAAACCTCTATCCCCGTTACCACAGTAGGTAAACTGCTCACCTTTATCATTGCGTTGAGAGCCACGTCCTCCATAGCTACCGTTTGAGCGGTTGTCATTGTATCCATTCACATATCCGTTTGTACGGCCGCCGTCCCATCCAGGAGAATCTTATGAATAAAAGCAAGTGGTTAGACAAAGTATTGTGAATGAGGTAAACGCAGCAAGCTACAGCCAGGACACTTGTGGCACTTAGTGAAATACAAATCCGCATCATCAAAATATATACAATAATTACCCCAAAAATGAAAAGGATTGTGTGACAATGAACCACTAGTAATTGAAACAATGGATACCACATGCCATGAGGTTTAAGTGCACGTTTCTTTACTACATACTGAAAAACTTAACCTCAATGGTCCAATTTGGCATGTCACCTGGTCAAAATAGTGGGTGAAATAAGATTGTAAAATAATTGTCATCTTTAATGTGTGCGCACGCAAGACCCAAAGAGCCTTAAGACATTCTTCTGCTTAAAAAGATTCCAACCTCTGTCAAACTCCAAAACAAACACATTTATGAAGCGAGACAGACACCAAATGCGTTCTGTGGAGAATGGCGGGACAGGGCACATGCACATAGGAAGCCGACAGTAATATAACGCATGTAGTTTACAAGTTAAACTGACAAAACATTGTAAACTCTTCATTCTTAATAGTGGTGTATTTTTATACAATACCGTTCCCAAAAGAGACTGCGCATCAAGAACCAAACCGGATCAGTCCCAATAACGATAGAAGAATGCGATCTAATGCCCTAAATTCACCAGGCCAATCCGTAATTAACAATACATATACATGACAAGTACTTAATAGACTCAAGAAACTGATTGATACTGTGTCATATTAAAATGGTTAAGACAAAACTCAGGTCACATTGTAATTACAGTTTACTGTGGTGTGTTGTAAGCAAACATTTCAAGTCACGTCACTTGCCATGCATGAAGAGCACATTTGTAAGAGACAACTTACAAAGACAAAAATGTTAGGCCTCTGACCTACTTCAGTGACTGAGTAAGGTTGATTGAGCTGAAGGTACAGTTTTAATTGAACCCGCAAATTAAGTGGCGTGACATGCAGACACAAGTATACCACATCTGTTTGGCCAACCACCAGTGGAGGCATGGTAAAAGGCAAGCTCCTGAGAGGCCAGTCTTGGGTAACCTGAGCAAAGGCATGAAAATACTATAAAGACTCAAAATAGTGAGGTCTTTAACAGTTACAACAGATATTGGCTTTAAGGTGACAGTTAAATCTTACAATCATCCCATCCTGGGGGATAGTCACTTCCCTTTCTTGGCTGATATTCAGTTTGCCACTGTTGTGGGCACTGCCGAAGAGAAACTTCAGGGACATTAAAGGCAAATTACTTTCCCAAAAACATTGAAACACTTCCAATGCAAGCCACACAGCCATAAGCAAATACTACATTAAATAACAATATTTTTCCCTCTCCCCTTTAAATTAGTGCTGATGGTCTGTAAAATGGCCATTTCATGCATACGGAAATGCAGATTGCCCTCAGCAAAAGCATGAAGAAGGGACTTACAGAGATTTACGGGTGCCACTGAAAAACCGCACTGTCTACCAGTGGAATAAGCATTTGCTGCTGTAGGATAAAAAAACAATGTCATGTGTGCATACCCACAAAGACAATATACAGCTTCATAAAAGTTAATAATCCCATACAGAGCAATCTGAATTGTTTTCTTTATGAGACACACTTGATGATCAATGATATTGCGTTAATAAAATACTAATTTTATAAGAAGATTCTAAGGATTTGTATGCAATCACTGTACAGTAAATGCATTTTGGTGGCCATTCATGTATTATATTTGGAACTGGTCACACAGTGCTTCCTCTTACCAGGGTCTGATGGGAAGAAAAAAAATCCCTAGTAGTGAAACTTACCACTTTTACCAGCATCTTTGTTCCTCAAATGAGGCGGAATGTAACGCCCTGAGAAGAATTAATTGTTAAAACATTGTCATCGACACTCTTCAAATTTCACAACAGTAAATTATACTTCAGTACTTACTGCCTCCTCCGCCCTGTCCGTCAGGAGAGTTCAAGTCTAGAGCAGCAAGCTAAGAGAAAAATACAGAAGATTATGTAAAAATGACGTAAAACACAGCTCCCTCAGAACAAATAAGTTACATTTTAAATTTAATTAGATTTAAATAGATTGTAGGAAATAATCAAAATGTCAAGTCAAAATAAGCTATATAATAAGTGAATAGAAAGTAGCCAGATCCTAATTTAGGTTAAAGGTATAGATCTGGATCCACCATCGCCAATAAGTCCACCATCGTTAATGCGACCAGGTTTTTTTTCCTCCTGCGCCACGTTTCAGGTTGAGGCCTGACATTAGCCGGCTACACTGTAATGAACACTGAAACTCAACCATAACTTGAGAAAAGAATCATAAAAGCCCCACACTTTGATGCGCATACACCAAAACTGCTCTAATCCGCAGTTGAGAAAGCATTTTGTAAAAGACTGTTGGATCTAGTTTACGGCAGCCCTCTTCCGCCATCACAATCTCACAACGCCATCACCGACATTTTAGCTACGATAGCATTCTGAGCTTAGAGAGCTAACGCCGCGGAACCGGGCCCACACGGTCGCAAATACAGCTCATTTAAAGCATTGACACAGTGAGAAAGATACGTTTAAAGGTCTTACCTGCTGATCTAGACCGTGTGGATTATCGACGACCACATGACTCATAACTAAAGAGCAGTTGAGAGTTTTTTTTGAAGAGAAAGGATTTTCTTTGTTAGCACGGTTAGCTGAGCGGCTCAAAGTACGGCAGTTCCCCCTTTCGTAATAAGCTTCAACTTGGTATAAAAGCCACGGGTAAATTTAACTACTCGTATACTTCAAATAAATACAGTCACGATGGTTACTTAACATAAATAAGACTAGAGTTCCGTATGAAATGGTTACTGTAGAGCTGCTACGTGCTTCCGGCGGCTTGACCGTGTTGGAATGAGACACAGAGCAGCCAGGTCACGCGAGATATCACATCTGTAAACCTGCAAACGGCCGAGTGCGCGGGCAAGTGTCGCGAGAGTTCACTTAATCTTAGATAAGTCCCAGGGTGATTAACAGGAACGCCGTATGATTTCTTATCCTTGGGCAAACTAACAACTAAATTATATGTTTAAATGAATTAAAATAAATGCTAGTATATTTTCTTTTCCCATAACTATAATAGGAATACAATTTGCTGGGGGTTGTCTGAAAATGTGGATCAGATTATTTTTAAGGAAAGAAGAACCCTCAAAGTTTGAGTTTCACTTTTCTGCTTCATGTTGAGAATCACAACAGCTCTTGATTTACATCATTCTGAAGTCATGAATAGCATGGATAGCAAATAGACAGTGCCAAGTGAGCGAGCTTCCTGGCTCCGGAAGTAATATCCCCCAAAGGGAATTTTAGGTTGAAAATTTGTTTGGGGCAGATCAGTTTTCTGATAAGTACTGATCCACAGTACCTACATTTATATATACGATTTTTTTTGAAACTATTATAACTGTGCTGAACACAATAAACTCGAGATGCCCCTTGAGATAAAGAGATGATTAATAATAAATAAATACATACAATCTTCTGCTTTGCCCCTTGCCAGATTGATCCAGGAAAACAAAATAAATAATAATAATAATAATAATAATAATAATAATAATAATAATAATAATAATAAATCAACTGTTTTGACATTCTCTTTTCTTTCTTTTTGTATGGAACTTAACTTGAGTCTGAAATATAAAAATAACCACAAAAAGCCAATCACATTTCTTTTCCCTCTTTTTTTTAAACAGAAAAAGCTAAATAGATTCCAGAAAAAAGTACATGATACTAGTTATTGGTTTATATCAATGTGATCAAGAAATTATGACTCGATTTAATCTGTAAACAATCGATTTGTTGTGATTAATTGATTAACTAAGGCATTCCATACACAATATGTAACCCATGCTTAACAAAGACAAATCACATTAGCAAAGAAAGGCTGATCTGACATTAATGTGTTTTATTTATGTTATTATTCTGCAGTGACACTAAAAATACAGTTACAAACTAATGTGTAGCTATATCTTGCCGATGAAGATGAAAGCAGTTAAAAGTTCACAAAGAATGTAATGGCAGGAGTACATAAAAACGTGTAACTATTTATTATTTAATGACTTTCAACCATGAGAGAACCTATATTTGTCTCGCGGCGGTAAATGCTTGCGTTGCAACCTACGATGGATCTATTTGTACAGAGCACTGGTTACATACATATCATCAGACACGTCTGCTGGCTCCATCTACTGGCATGAAGAAGATCCTGATCCCATTCCCAAGTAGCTCCCCAAAGGATATAAAATCCATAAATATTCGTATTATTACAAAATATTCCAATATAATGTAATGAATTATACATAATCACAATTATGCATAGTCACCCATTTAATGCTTTAGCTCTTTATTTTCCCCGGGCGTTTAAAGTAGTAGTTTTTTGCCATTTCAATCCTCAGAAAGACGCTCTTTTTGTTCCGAACTGTATTTTCCAATGGATTGATGAAGTAGATTTTTGTAAAAAGCCACAGTGATCTTCATGTTCTGTTCACATCCACTCACATCGGTTCATGTTGTGGGCCCCTTTTGTGTTCCTTGTGTGTTCGAACTACTGTCCAGTATGTGCGAATAAAGGTTCTCTTATCTTTTCTTGTGAGCACAGACCATAGACTGTAGATTGTACATATCATGAGCAGCAGTATAAACTCAATTACCCAACATTCATTGCAGGTATTTCTCCGGAAGAAATCGTGTACGCCAGACTTTGTACTTCCTCTTTCCGTCAACGGAGTTTAGGTACGGATGCTTCAGTGTTATTCCATGTACACAATCTAGTCTAAATCCATTGTTTAACTTGTCATCCACACTTAAAAATCATATGTATGTGTCCACTAACAACCAGAGCGTAGCATTTAATATATATTGTTGGTTTCTAAATTTTATAAATACTTTGTTGAGCTCTGGTTAGCCCACTGGTGTCATGGCGTTGTCAGTGTTGAGCAGCTAAAGGCCGGTATCTTGTATTTAGTTTAACACATGTCTTAAGGATTTTCAGCTGTTGTTCAGCGCCAATAACTCTTTAACCCGTCTTAATACGGGACATTGCTTTAATGTTAAATTCAGTTTGATTTTTCTTGTAAACTGAAGCAATGCATTTGTATTGACGCGGGTACAATTTCTTTCCAGTACACGATGGGACGTGTAATCAGGGGACAGAGAAAAGGTGCGGGCTCTGTGTTTAAAGCCCACGTTAAGCACAGAAAAGGTGCTGCTAAACTCCGGCATATTGACTTTGCTGAACGCCATGGATACATCAAGGGGATCGTAAAGGTATGCATCATGGCTAGATCAGTGACCCAACGTGAGACAACGATGGTACCAAACTGTTTGTTTTCTAGGACATTATCCACGATCCAGGCCGTGGTGCTCCTCTGGCTAAAGTGGCCTTCCGTGATCCATACCGCTTCAAGAAAAGAACTGAGCTGTTCATTGCGGCTGAAGGCATCCACACTGGACAGTTCATCTATTGTGGCAAGAAAGGTCTGTTTTGTCTTTGTACTTATTTGTAGTATTCACATAGGTCAAGCAACGCAACTTTAACAAGTGATTCTCATATTTATTATATTGGCATTGGTAAAATGTATTTGAAATTGTCAGGCCTTTTAACATTGTAATCTAATTTTTTCTAGCCCAGCTTAACATCGGCAATGTACTGCCTGTGGGTGTCATGCCTGAGGGTACAATCATCTGCTGCTTGGAGGAGAAGCCTGGAGACAGGGGCAAGCTGGCTCGCGCTTCAGGGAACTATGCCACAGTGATCTCCCACAACCCAGAAACTAAGAAGTCCAGAGTGAAGCTTCCTTCTGGATCTAAGAAAGTCATTGCTTCAGCCAACAGAGCGGTTGTCGGTAAGTAAATGGTAGCTACTGTGATTGAAAAATGTTTTATCAATAATTTTGTAAATGTTTACAGGTGTTGTTGCTGGAGGTGGACGTATTGACAAACCTATTCTGAAAGCTGGTCGTGCTTACCACAAATACAAGGCCAAGAGGAACTGCTGGCCACGTGTCCGTGGTGTGGCTATGAACGTAAGTGCACTTGAAGGCTGCTCACCCCTAATATTCCTTGTCTTTCGCACATCTTTGGTACGTAAATAAAGCGCAGCTGGTCTACATTCGTCAAACGCTTTTCATTGTGATATGCATATATTTCAGTGCTGGTGTAAATGGGCCAACTCATAATTGCATTATGAATGGGATGGATTTCCTTTTTCTATTTTGCGATCGCTTTATCACTGCATGGGAGACGAGGGGCAGGAGAACAGGGATTAATATTCACTTTATCGTGTTTTCAATTGGTGTATTTTGGGGATAATGGGTCTTGAATGTGAGGTTTGAAGTCTGGTGTATCAACCATTGGAAAAATTGAAGATGGCGTTAACTGTTGTAAGCTCGGCGTGGGGCACACTTGTTTTAATTTCCTGCTTTCATCTGCAGCCTGTTGAGCATCCCTTCGGAGGTGGTAACCATCAGCACATTGGCAAACCCTCAACCATCAGGAGGGACGCACCTGCTGGTCGCAAGGTCGGTCTCATCGCTGCCCGTCGCACAGGCAGACTGCGTGGAACAAAGACTGTCCAGGAGAAGGAGAATTAATATGCTTCATAATAAAGTGTTTAAAAAAATCTTGTTTTGGGTTTTAAGTATTACATTAGCCATCCCTCTACATTATATACCAGTATTCCATTTGAAGCTTAGATTTCATACATTATAATTATGGTAAATTTTAGAATTAAATGTAGTGCCACATGCAATTTCTTACAACTTGACACTACAGAAAATGTATGCTTTTCGTTGAATAGCCAACTAGCATGCAAATCAAGGCAGCCACTTTTTTTTTTTTGGGACCTCTTTGGGCTGTCTCCCACTGGTTTTAGGGTTGGCAGGTGCAAGTCCTCCCTGCCTATACAAATATTCAATTGTAAACCCAGCCTTGGGTGGCAAATTGCTGTCCATGTGCATTGGTAAATGTTACAGGTGTGGCATGACCCGATTAACTTAACCCTTGTGCTACCAGATACTTAAATGAGGTAATAATTCAGATTTGTTTACATACTAGTGGGTCAATTTAACTCATCACATTCCCTGTATTAATTTTGCCCTAACCTGGAGCTATTCTGGTTGGTTTGAAGGCTAACTAGTTTAAAAATCTTTCACTAGTGACTACACAGGACACTGGGAAGATTCCATGTTCTTTATTTGCTAAGGGCGCAATGCTTTGTTATATTTCTGTGCACAAAAACCTCACAAAGTGAAAGTCCACATCGCGACTGTAGCTCCAGAATTCAAAGTCACACCATGGCCAAAACAAAAGTCGGCAAAAACAGGGCGTAGAACTCTGTACAGTCAATATCTTTAAAAATAACACAAGGACAAAAATGTTCCTCTTAAATCAAATTCTATTTGAAATACAACAAAATAAATTCTATAAAATAAGAGCAACATATTTAAATATAATACGGTGGGCAGAATATTTTCACTTGCAGGAGTATTTGGTATGTTTTAACAAAAAGATCAAAAGACACGCATTCAAGTTACCAATTAAATACAGTATTTTTTTTATCTTTACTCCTACAGAATTACAAGTTAGCTCAAGTTGCAACATGACTAACCAGGTGCTAATCCTGCGATAAAACCCTGCTGAGAAACTGCTGAGTGATGGTCTCACTGTGGGCCAGGATCACAGTCCCTGGCTCCAGCAGACTATAGCCCTAATCAGCTCACAGCAATGCAGACCGATGGGCAGGTCTATAACTAGGCTCTACTGAAGTGACGCCAGATAATCTCACTATAACCAAGTGCAGCAATATTGTTGCATAATGTTTCATTTTCAGAATTCCTATAAAAAGAAAGCAAAGCAGTCTATTCCCACCTAAAATTAAATCTGGATGTAAATTGTGGAGTTACAATGTGCAAATGAAAAGCCACTTTCTGATAAATTCAAAGTAATGATCTCATCAGAGATCAGGTAGATGGAAAGAAAATAATGCAAGGAGAACCCTGTTGATGTGAGTTTAGAACAGCTTAAGTTTCTTATGATCACAGGTTTTCCCTTGGGCTACACTATTCTGGTGAGAAGCCATGCTAAATGTTACAGCATTAACTAGAGCTTCAAAAATGACTGAATTAATAAAACAGAACAAACAAAAAAGAAGGCAATGAGTTTCAGAACAATGTTGCATCACATCAACCAAACACCAGAAATTCCACCCAATCATTCCACATGTCACACTAAAACCAACCACAACCTGTGAGTTGATTTGGCATGGGTCATAAGGAGCTTCAGATAATATAACCATTATGATAATAACAATGCGTTCTCCTACAGTTGAATGACCAAGAATCGCCCAATTGTATAACAAACTTCACTGCTTCACTGCATTTGTGATAAAACAAAGAGTAGTTGACTTCGTACAGTTTTTTGGGGCATTTTTCGTATTTATAATATCCATTTTATTTTTCATATTTATCTGCAACATCTCCCAGAAGTCTAGCTATTGGGGGATTTGAACAGTCAATAACATAAACAGACTATGTACACCTTTTTGTCATGGAGACAAGCGCATCAGCATCGTTCGCTCTGGTTAAGTGAGTTTCCTTTATTAGAATTTTTATCCACTTCTTGGCCCCTGCAGCAACAAGCAGGTCCCTGTCCCACGTTGAGGAACCCCAGGCCAGGGAAGAGCGCCTCCTGCAGGCTGACAGCAGAACATCTTAAGTGGCCTTGAGGGACGTGAAGTGCTCACTCTGCCCTGTCCTGGGGCCAGAGAAAGGACCAAAGGTGAAGCTCTGTAGACCAAAGAAGAGGAAGGAGAGCGGGACGATGGAGGCTCGAGGCACAGCAAGGGTAATTACTCCTTCGGAGGGGAAGGCCCTGGGGCAGGTGTGGTAGTGGGGGCTGGGGCCGGAGCCGGGGCCAGAGCCGGGGCAGGGGCCTGGGCAGGGGCCTGGGCAGGGGCAGGGGCAGGGGCCACCTCCTCAGTGCTCTCCCAGTTCTCTTGTGCTCGTGGGCCCTGCCCTGGAGGACCAGGACCCGGGCTTGTGGTCTGAGGAGGAGCTGGGTTTGGGGCAGAGACCGGCCCAGGCCTCTGGGGATTGTTCATGTGCTGGGCAGCAGGGCCAGTGTACGGCTGGCCATGAGGATGGTTGTTCTGCACAGACAAGAAAACACATGATTGCACAAATGTTACAGCTATTGATCTGAACTAAATACTTTGGAGACAGGTTGTGCTCACCTGCTGAAACTGTGCTGTTCCAGGAGAATGGGGATAGAGAGAAGTGTCTTCTGGAGGAGAAGAATCTTGATCATCTGGAGCTTCCTGCTCATCTGGCTCCTATAACAACAACATAAAACTATGAAACCAGAATTTCAAAGCACTACAAATGTGTTAATCAAAATGTATAACTATTTATGTCTAAATCAATAGTATTATGCAATTAACGTAAACATATTTTAAACATGAAAGTATCACCAAAAACAGAGCAACTTAAGTTTAAGAAATTGCAAGTGAATGCACTTTAGATATTGGAATCTAAACAAGAACTCTTATCACTGCCCCATGCCAAATAATAGCTATACATGGATAATATGAAAAGAAGCCTAAAAATATAAGTTCACAGTAAGTGGGTGACTTTGGCAGAAACTATCATTTTAACAACACTTGTTTACTTCCTTCCTTCATGTAGCGGTGCCTGGAATACTGACCTTCCCTGGGCTTCCCTGTGTACACTTGAGCTGTGCATGGAACATTACAAAGAAGCGTGTCATTTATCTGATGTTTTTCAACATTCAAATACAATTTTGCTGTACATTTGTCATTAATTTCTATACATTCTATAGCCCCCACCAACAGGTCAAATTGTATCTAGTGTCTGCGTGAGTGACAATTTATGGTGTATGCTGGTATGCAGTAATTCTGAATAAAAACAACAAAATGAACACATTACATTGAACATTATTTTATACTAATTCCTAATGGGGTTAATCTATAAGTCTACATAGAGTATATGTGGTGGGAGTAGAGTATTAATTGATAATTAATTACCTCTTCTGGACACAATTCACAGGCTTTGGCCAGCGTCATGCGTGCACTGTGTGAACGCTCCAGGAAATAGCCATTGGAGGTCTCATTACTCTGAACCGGAGGGGACCAGTTATTGTACGTGTACTGAGGGTTTCCTGTGTAAGGCCGCCTCTCCAGCTCATCCCCCAGCCACTCCACGGCCCATGTCCACTTTCGTTTTAAGTCACCATTGCTCTGCATCAACAAATATAGTGTAGTGGTTGGTCAAATCTGGGAGAAACTTGTTTTTAAGCAGATTGATTTAAAATCACACTTATGTTTGTGTATAACAAGGGTACACATGAGCGTCATGCTTGAATAGTGGCATGTACCTGGAGAATCTGGTAAGCCACAGAGCAGTTGCTAAACAGGGCGACCATGCACTTGATACATTGGTATGCTCGTTTTTGGTAGTGGTTTTTAGAGCGCTGGATGGTGTCAAAAAGCCCGTCTCTGTCATCTGGAATGCCCTTTAGCACATTGTGGATCCTAATAGGAGCAATACAAAATATTTCAAGAAAAAAATGTAACAGAAGTTATTGTTCCACGTAGAAGATAAACTGACCTATGCGTTTGCCAGGAGTCCTCAATGAGAAGAATCTGTAGCAGCAAGTCCAAGTAAGGCCTCAGCTCATATGTATAAGAGTAAGCCACCTGGGGAGAACCAAACGCAATTCACATGAAAACATATTATTTACAAGAGTGCTCATGATGTTAAAAAATAGGTGCCATTGAAAGGAACAAACCTCAGATGGACATACCTGCCAGAGCAGCTCACTGAGAACGGTGGATGAGAACTGTGGATTCTCCCAGCAGCTGAACCGCAGCAGTTTGACAGTTTCCTCAGAGTTGCTGCAGTCCTCAATGATCTTCTTCACATAGCTAGTCCGCACAAACAGGATCTCTGCGACCAGCTGTTGCACAGGCATCACTGGGGTGCTTAGGTTTGTGTCTCCATAAGGGTTTGGAAGTGGAGGGTTACCTACAACAGTAAAGGGGAAACAATCAGAATGGAAATAGTAAATGCAAAAGTGTTTTGTTTCCAAAAAAAGAATAGCCCTCAGCTCAGAGCTGTGCTTTCACAATACACAAACCCCAAGTGGCTTGTTTATCAGTCTTAAAATCCTGAGCAAGGATGTAGCTCCTCATTGGACTGACCTGCTTCAATGCTTGACATAAAAATAAAATACTAAAATATGACTTACCATTAATGGATGACTGCATGCGCGATGAAACATCACAGCAGCGAACAAGCTGAGACACCACAGTATAGAGTTTACCCAACTCTGCGTACTGGTATTTGATAGGAGGGCCGGGACCCTCATCCAGAGCCACCAACATAAAAGTGGCAGGAACATTCAATTTTAACAACTGGGTTTTCTCTGCAAGACCTTTAGACATAAAAGAAGAAGGTCAATAGAATTGAGTCAGTACTAGATTGATTTTGTTAACAGTCATGGGTACAAGGAATCATGACACACATGGCTGCCCTCTCCATTAGATCAACAGTAGTTTGCCTCAGTTTGCCAAAGCTGACTGAAAATTATCTTATCTGGACCTTTGGATGTTTGGATGACATCAGTTGGTGAGAGATGTAATGTTATCATAATCCCCAGACACTTCCACTTTACAGGAAATTGGTCGGACCCTAAACAGCCTCAAGTGAGCATAGCCTGATGTGTGCAGCATAAGAACCAATTATGTTACAGGTAGATAAATAGCCTTGGGACCAACGCATTACAGATTTGAAAAAAATCTCGTACTATAGAGCAATATAAAAGTTGCAAATTTCCAATAATATGTTTCCTTTTAGATTACATACTGATTATCTACAGGAATCTTCAGAAATATTGGGGAAAATAAAAAAATAAAAAAAATCTAACAGCCAGCATATATCCACACTCCTGCTATAGTGTGAATGAACATAATTCATTTGCACACTATTTGTTTTTTGAATAATGATAATGACCTTTTTGACCTTTTTCAGATCAGTCAAAAACTAGAAAAACTATTTTGTAATTAAATGCAGGTGAAATTGACAGGTGCATAATGTGTGTGTGTGTGTGTTTGCCTTACCTAGATTGGCATACATGACAAAGAGGTTGAAGTACTGCTGCAGGTGACGGCCGTGTTCAGAGACCTCTCTGCGCAGCAAGTTGAGGACAGCTCTCAACAGATGGTCACTTAAACTGAGGTTATCACAGCCCTGCAAAGAGACATACAAGACAATTTATTTTACCCAAGATGCTTAATCTAGTTTATGGTAAGATCAGTAAAACATAGTTATCCAAAAACCTGAGTTGAGGGTCCTGGGGAGGCAGAGGGTGAAGGGCAAGGACCATCTTGAAGAGAGAAGTGGGCGATGAAGACTATAAGCTTGGCAAATGCACCGCGGACCTCAGCACTTGGACACTCGAGTAGGTACTCTGAGAACCGATTTGGATAGGCAAACAGAACGTTGTGTGCAAACCAGTAGCGTACATTCTTACTGTGCCTCAGAAGGATGCAAAGGGCGTCATACCTTAAGAAAAAAAAAACATGCATGACAAAATGCAGACAAATGAATTCCATGTAAAGTTTAAAAAAAATGTACCAGTCACTGGCAGGACCCCGGACTACTTTTTTTGTGTGAAATCCTGTGCTGAAAAGAAACCTAGCAGCTAATTGAGAGCTGATCATTGCAATCTCTTCTGCCTCTGGGAGAAGATGGTCTTGTCCTTCAAGAAAGAACAGACAAAAAGGCATACAAATATTTAAAACCATTTGGCAAGGTCACAGTAAAAACACAGAACAGTCTAATAATTATACTATAGTGGTGCAATAGTGAACCAGATAAGCAGTGAAGTAAGTAAGACTACCCACCTGGAGGAGGATTTAAATAGACACTGTTACAGGTCAAAAGTTTCTTAATGAACTGGAAATATTCCAAGCTGTATTGCATTCTGTTGTGCATGAATTGGACGTTCTGCTTGCGGACACTGCACTCAATAACACCAGGCATCTTGACCTGATGTGGTTTTGTAGAGGAGATAGTCAAGTCTGAGATGTACTTGACAAGCTCGCTGTCTTTGTCCAGTGAGTCCATCCGCTCATAAAAAAGAATGTATGCATTCCACCAGCGCTTCTGCCTCCGATATGACATCCTTTTCATCATGTGGTCGAACACCTCGCCCATGTACTCTCCTCCAAAGCACTGATTCTTCATCTCCTCTTCATCATCCATTTTGCACTCAGTCACATCACCATCATCAAACTTATACCAGCGGTTTTTTTCACCATCTCCCCCATTCCTCTGAATAATGTAAGAATAGTAGTGTCCTCCACTGGCCTGGCCCGAGTGGACCAGTACACCTACAAGGCGATACTTTGAGCTTCCAGGGGGAGTGGGCTCCGAGGGCTCATTCTGCTGGATCATCTGGTTTTCTGGGTTGACATCATCCCCCTCTAACTTAGCCACACCAGCCACTGTGTAAGGCTCCATGTCCAACTCCCGGGGAAACTCAAAGTAGTCATTGAACTTGATGGCACATTCCCTCTCCCAGTCATAGTCGAAGCGTTTCAGTTGTATGGCAAGGACTGGTGGCAACTTCTTAATTAGCAAGCGCTTCACTGTATCCACCTGCATCAGAGAAAAGGGTTATTGCCTCAGCAGAACATAGAAATTGAATGAATATTGGTATAATAATGATTTACAAAAAGTCAAGAGTTTGGGTTGGGAATCCAACATTGTGTTTTTAATTATTATAGGAAACCCTATGTAGAAAACTACCACTGTTTTTACCTTCTTATTACACTTTTCACAGTGATAGGCATTAGCTCCTTCAAGCAGATCTCCTTTGACGTACTGCTCCATGGAGTCCAAAAGGTTCTGGTGATTTCTGATGTCCACATTGAGTGTTGTGAATGACTCCTCACACTCATATCTGGTAGCACAAGAGAATACCATCAACAAAATGCATGAGAACACCACATTGTTTAAAAAAAAAAAAAACCTCACCTGTGTGGGCAACCTTGGCAGATCTTCTGATCAGCAAAAGAACCTCCCAGGACCTTACTCAGCATGGCTGGATGGCCCAGTGCTTTCAGAGCTTCATCTAGACTATCCACTAAGGAGTTAAAAAACTCTAGGGCATCATGTTGCTCTCTTAGGTTTACTGGTTCACCCCATAACCTTAAAAATGCAGGAACAATGATCAAAACAAATACCTATTAAGACTCAAAATAGCTGAAAATACCTGAACTGTTTCCAGAATCCTCTAGGAACATAGTACTGCAACCTTGAGGCACTCAGGTGACCAAAAATAACCTGAAGATGACGTAATACTCCAATGTTGTACTCTTTCCGGTCCTCTGATTTTCCAGATGGTTTATCATCAAACTGGTGATGGTAACTGAACACCTCATCTCGAGGATCCACATTGCTCTGTGTAAAAAACACAATTGTTTTTTAGTTCTACACTTCTTCCAAATATCATACAAGTAGATGCATATTTTTGCTGGCATAAATGAGCAGAATCACCTCATTTTCCTGCTTTTCATCCCCTGACATATCATCATCCACATCTGTGCCTGTGCCCTCAATAGCAAGAATGCCATTACGAATAGGTGGGATCATGTAAAGCTGCTGAATAACCGAGTTCATGTAGCAAGTAGCCCCAGCATTCTTCAAACCTACAAAACCTTTGTTGGGTCTCGGTCCGACAGGGGGGAGATATTCCCATTCAGTCAAAGTATCACCAGCTAAAAGAAAGTCTTGTTAGATCGTTTCATAAAATTCTTTATTTTGTGCAAAATCTTACCCAAATAGTACATGTCTGTGAGGGTATCCACTATCTGCTTAAGGTTCCTGACACAACCAACAGCCAGTGCCACAAGCAGCTCAAAGCCTGCATTGATGGAAGCAGGTGTACTACACACTGGGATAGCTTGCTCAGTGGGAAACTCTCCACTTTTCATGTACTGAAGGTAAACATTAGATGCTGGGAAAATGAAGTCATCTATCAACTCCTTCATGAAAAGAAAAAAAAGTGTTATTTCCTTTGACATTGTTTAAAGTTATTTTACATATGGAAATGTGTACCTTAATAAGATTTGCTCCTCCTTTTTCACAGCCAATGTAGTACTTCTTTTCTGGTGTCTGGAAGGACAACAGCTCCTTGGTGACCCCTAGATGGCCTTCTAAAATGGTTTCCTCCACACCTGTCTCACCAGTCCTTTTCACTTCATCCTAAAATTAACATATGTAATGATTTATTCACATTCATTGCGACATTGTGGACTGCTGTATTTGGCATGCCATACCCTTATTCGCTTAAGCCAGTCAATCTCATTGTTCAGGAGCACCTCTGCGTTAGGCAGGTTGATATTGCTGTTGTAAGCGTAGTTTAGAAGGTGTCTAAGCAAAGTGAAATAATCTCCAGCGTGTTTTGCCCGCTCTTTGGCTGTACTCTACAGAGAAACAGCCAATGTTACTCAAAAATACTATTGTCATTTAGAAAAAAATGTGTGCTTTATACAAACCCCAAGGACTGTAAAGAGGAGAGTAATAAAGAAAATGAGCGGTCGATGGCCCATGCAGCACCTGGTCGCCATCAAGAAAAACTGCTCTTGAGCCATTTGTCGTACAGATCTGTTGACAGTATACCAAGAGTAACTTTCTGTAAACGCTGTGTATAAAATATAGATTACTTATAGTATACTAACTTGCTATGGCAGTGGAGCAGCAGATCAATGATAAAGGTCTGCCAAGCCTTCTCTTTGCCGAGAGTGTCCAGAGCCGTAGGCATAAGGGCAAAACAAAGTGTCATCACCTCTAAGGCCTCACAGCACACCTGCTCATCCTCTCCATCGGGCTCCTTAGAAGCATTGGTCTAATAAAAATAGACAACTTGTCAAACGCAAATAGACAATAAAGAGAATTGTGTGGATATTTCTTGAGTAGAAAATGCTCTTAAAAGAGACAAAGAGCTACTAACCTTTTCATATATTTTACTGATTTCATCATTTGAACTGAAGACAAGCTGGACAGTACCGCAACCTGAAGCCCATACAATTTTCTGTATTGCCCGGATTACACATATGTCTGGGATGTACTTTGATACTTGGAAGAAGTTCTGAATTCAACAGTAAAAAGTACATGATCATGGCATGAACTGCAATAAACAAAATGCTGCAATCATAAACATCTCATTACCTCATCAGAAATCTGCTGAGCTAGACGAATTGCAACATTGCGCAACATGCACTCTGAGGCAGGATTGGGAATATTTTGTAAAGCACTTTGAAGGACTAGGGCCTGGTCATGGGTTGCTTGATTAATCTACAGGGGAGAAGAGAAAGACGACAAGTCAGAAAAATGCCATTAAGCACCAATTTTAAAACCAGTTTCATACAATGCAGCCTGCCGTATATGGACGAACCGGTGAGACAGGAACGTTTCCATCAGCGTTGGGCTGACAGGCCTCTGCCACAGCCTTGACATGCCCAAAGCCAACTGCAGTCAGTAAAAGCTTTGCAATTTTAAGTGCATTGAGATAAGCTCCACGCCGAGTCTCCATGTCTGCTGAAGGCAAGAAATTGTTTCGCGTGAGCATGCTCAGCACCAAAGGAAGTCCACCACTTTTCAAGAAGTTATATTGGAAGTCACTGGCATCTTCTCCAAGTGTTGCACTGGCCGGCATTAGCAGAGCATACACAACCTGAAACAAAGTGATACAAAGTGATATTACGATAAGTGATAAGATACAAAATGTCTGAACATAGCTGTATAAAAAAAAAAAAAAACTGATATAATGACACACACACAGTTACAACAAAAAAACATTTAGAGGTCCGTTTTCAAACTTAATTGATGTAAAACAGTTCTTTGAGGATTCCAAAGCCACAAGAGTGAGGAAAATTCACTCCACATTAAGTTTTATTCCGTTGTAATTTATCAGCTATGATTTATTCATACAATCTCGGAGTCACTTGCCCCAGATGTCTCTTTCTCGCATGTCAACGGATAATGTAAATTATGACGTCCCAAAAAGAACAGTTTTATCTATTAAATTTATTTCCATTGTAAAATTGTTAATTTCCCATTGCCTTTGCCTGAGTATATATATTAAAATCCCTTCATGAGTCCCCTGCATGTTCAGGAGGTCAAATTAAAGATCAAAATGCGGAAAAAAAGCAAAATATATATTTTACACCACAAATGATACATTATTTTAAAACATTGGAGCAGGCGAAGGCAACCGTTCAGTGATTGACGAAGACACTGCTCCAAAACCTTCTGTTCATGTCCAGTTTCTAAATTTGAGTAAGTCTACAGGTTTGTGGCTGCGCTGATCAGACAGGAGTGTGTCGTTCTCTGGTTAACTTAAATTCATTAAATGTTGGCCTCCATGCCTCCACACATTTATGTCACATTTTACCAATTGAGAGAAATGTCTCTCCAATTTTCCAATTGACAAAAAGCACAGCGATGGAAAACTTTAAGACCAGATACATACACTTCAAATGATCCTTTTGTGAAACAGACTATTGAGTTATAATTCTAATGAGACATTTATAACCCACCTCAATGAGGTAGAGCACTTGTGAGGGCGAGGGTCCAAAGAAACGAGAGTCCAGAGTAGGACTGAGACTGTTCTCACCAAGCTTGGCATGGTCGAGACACACAGCACGTAGATTCTCCACTGTTGTATTATCTGAACAAAATATTGATAAGACTGAGTGTGATTCTTCAGGTCAACTATATCCTTTTAAAATCGATTACTGAAGTATGTTTACCTGGAGGCATGAGTTTCATGAGAACTCGTGCTCCATCTCTAAGAAGAGGCATGTTGAGGTTGCAGCCCAAGTCAGCCACCTGCCATAGGAAGGAGATGTAGCGCAAGTGCAGAGACATAATCTGAAAAAATAAGAACTTTGGTTTAGAGGCATTCTATAAAACCATCAGAAAAACAAATTTTGAACATAATCAAAATTATAGAAATAACAAGGCTGCTTACCACACCAGGAAGACAGCTCTCCACCTCAGGGTTGGGTCCGTCGCTGTAGTGGTTACCATGGTTACCAGGTGAACCGGTGGATGAATCTGATGAACTGTCTGGGCTAGAGGGCATGTTGGCACTCACTTGGGTAAGTTTTGCTGTAATAAGCTGAGCATAAAAGAAGTATGAAGCAAATGTCATTACTCCAAAAAATTAACCCCTCCCCTCCAAAGTATGTTTACCGTTTTGTCTTTTAAATTCAGCTGACCAATCAGCTTCCGGTCATCAGCTGGATCAACAACCTCTCCTCCAATAAAGAGCTCAATCTTGGTATGTGCAGCATTAGCTTTGATGCGGTTGAGAATGGCACGTCTAACCGATCCAATAGTATCATTGGTGTGTGACCAGATATCCAGGTCATCTACCTGACGCCCTTGGTTCGGGAAACGAACTATAAGGGTGATGTGCTTTCCTCTAAAAGCTCTGTAAATACACAAAAATAAAATATTTTAGTATATATATCATCATATCAATACAATAAAATCCAATTATTCAAGAAAGTAACCAATGTTCACATGTATAACTCAAATCCGAGCAGGTTCTTCATCAAGAAAATATGTTAAATGTACCTGGACATAGGCAATATAGTCCTCTCCTCGTGGTAATCGCTGTCACATTCATTGATGTACTCCTTGAGAACAGTAAGTACTCGCACCATACGAATGGCCTCCTGACGTGCACAGTTTATGCTGTCTTTGTCTCCATCTAACACACACAGTGTGTCGTATGATGCCTTCAGCCGGTCAAAACAAGACTGGATAAAATCTTCATGAATTTCCACCTAAGACAGTAAAAACCATGCATAAAATTACAAGAGTTTACAGCTCTCCAGGAATAACTTTTATTCATTGTCATTCAAATGTACCTGGTTAACTTGTAGTTTTGGTCCAAGGTTGGTATAAATTTCCTTCAATAGATCTATAGCACGACTGGCAATATCATCACTTCCTTGAATAACCACCTTTAAGGACAAAAAGAGGGAAATACAATTACTGTAAGCAATAATCTATTGTTCCTTTAATCTACTGTAAAAGCAACAAATAACAAAGCCTGAAAAGCATTTTAAGATAATAGTTGATTTACCCTCCAAAGGTAGTCCAAGCCTATAAGTTCCAGGTCATCCATCATGTAAGCCCGACGTTTTGCCACCAACTTTCCCTCTCTGCAGTTAACCGCCTTGAAGAACCTCTCAAAGCACTTCATACCATTTTCTGTAAGCAAAGAGGGGTCCAACTGCAGGACATTATTCTCAAAGAAGTCCTTGTTGATGTCTGGGTCAAGATCTGGCTCATCCCCCATGAGCTTAGAATACCTGTTCACATTCATAAAACAACATGAACAAAAAGATTTTAAAAAATAATAAAAAAAGTCAAGAAAGTCAGGAAAGAGCAAACCAAATGTACATTTCTAACCATTTGAAGCAGGCCTCGCGATCACATAGAAACACAGCATTTTCAGCTAAACATTTCCAGATCTGCTTTGCTTGAGGGGCACAAAGCCACAACTGTCCGTCCTTCAATAAAAACCTGGCAGTAAAGTGAAAAGTATCTGAATTATGAGAGTATCACATGTCTACTAATAATTTGTCAATCATATTAAAAGCAGATTAAAATTCAAACCAATATGAACAGCAAAGTATAGCTGTACCTCAGAAAGTTAAGACGTTCCTGTACTTCCTGGACATGGCTGTACCGACTCCCTGGTCTTACAGTCTGCGGGTCAAACTCTGCTTGTTCTTCTGCAAACACCAAAAGTTATTGAGTTAAAGGAATAGTTCACCGTTTTTACATACTGACATATGTTCTTACCTTACCTTAGACTAGTTAATACGTACCTGTCTGGTCTTAGTCCGTGCGCTCTGTCATGCAAACGGAGCAAAAACGGGAGCACAACCGCAGCCTCCTCTGTATACTGTATAGGACCCAAAAGGTAGCTCCCGCTAGAAGCTACCAAACTCTTCCAAGTGTTCCCTATTAAATGTATATAGTTACGTGACGTGTTACACTGCAAAGTATATTAACACAGAAATGTAACAGTCGATTTTCTCAGCGGATAAAACGGGTACTATATTGTGAGGCGTAGTAATCTGAGGAGCGCTACGTCCGCGCACTAACTTCTCTCCGGAGACTTCTCTCTCGCTCACTTCCGTCAATAGAAGCAGCGTGACTTGTAGTACACACAGTAGCAGCGAGAGAGAAGTCTCCGGAGAGAAGTTAGTGCGCAGAGAAGTTAGGAGCGCTACGTCCGCGCACTAACTTCTCTCCGGAGACTTCTCTCTCGCTCACTTCCGTCAATAGAAGCAGCGTGACTTGTAGTACACACAGTAGCAGCGAGAGAGAAGTCTCCGGAGAGAAGTTAGTGCGCAGAGAAGTTAGGAGCGCTACGTCCGCGCACTAACTTCTCTCCGGAGACTTCTCTCTCGCTGCTACTGTGTGTACTACAAGTCACGCTGCTTCTATTGTCTCTCTGTTCTAAGTCTCCGGAGAGAAGTTAGTGCGCGGACGTAGCGCTCCTCAGATTACTACGCCTCACAATATAGTACCCGTTTTATCCGCTGAGAAAATCGACTGTTACATTTCTGTGTTACTATACTTTGCAGTGTAACACGTCACGTAACTATATACATTTAATAGGGAACACTTGGAAGAGTTTGGTAGCTTCTAGCGGGAGCTACCTTTTGGGTCCTATACAGTATACAGAGGAGGCTGCGGTTGTGCTCCCGTTTTTGCTCCGTTTGCATAACAGAGCGCACGGACTAAGACCAGACAGGTACGTATTAACTAGTCTAAGGTAAGGTAAGAACATATGTCAGTATGTAAAAACAGTGAACTATTCCTTTAAGCAAATATTTATCATATTCATTCATATATATATTAATTTAGTGTAGGACTGGGGTTGGGAAAGTGACTCTTTGCAATGGCTCATTTGGCCTCAATAAAAAAGATTATTTATTACCGTGTGTTATGTCTATTTATTTTATGACTTGGACCGTACACGCGCTCTGATTGGCTGATTACCGGTCTGATATTTTCCCATCTCGGACAGTTACCATGACAATTGGTCCGAACAGCGCGTATCACATTTGATATCTTTCCTCGGACCGTTACCATGACAATCTGTCCGCAGCGCGTATCACACAAAACCAAGTCGGACATGAACATACTTCACAAATATCTCAAAAGCATTGGTAAAGACACAGACGAGAGTCATATAATAAAACATTTATTAACCTTGCTTGCTCGGTCTGTACAGAGAAATATCAGACCACGGCCTTAATGTACAGACCGAGCCGTGGCGAGGTCTTTTCATTAAGGCCGTGGTCTGATATTTCTCCATACAGACCTTGCGCTCGGTTAATAAGCCGTTTGAATAATGCATTTGCAACTTATAGATTCTGAGTGTTTTTATTTAATGTTGCATATATTTTGCGGCTCCATACAATTGGCCCTGGCAGAAAAGGGTGCAAAACCTTGGTGTTTGAGGTCCATAACCTACCTTTGGTGAGTTGCCTCATTGTCTCCATATAGGCCGACAAGTTTTCTGCTACCAAAGTCACCAAAGCATGATTATGTTGTAGCTGGTTGATCAAATCATGGCGATAGAACACATGGGGACTTCTCTGGGTTTGACTGTGGAAAAGAAATATAGAAAGAAGGTCTCATCACAGTGCTAATAAGGCCAGACACTGCTTAGCTTCAGCGATCTGACCGGATCAGGCTTTGGCAAGCAGGTATGGCCATTACTCAAAACATTCAAGGTGCAAGGGAAATGGGTCAAGACAACAATTATAAAATAATTTTGATGCATCATTTAAATAGTTTTTTCCTTCTAATTCACCCACTTTAAGTTGTTGATTCATGCATGTTTGAATTTTTTTTATTTCCACGAGTCCAGATCAGTTCATTAAAAATAGATGCAAACAATGTTGGAATGCATAAACATTGGGCCAAACCTCAATAATTTACAAGGTTTTGCACAAAGGTTATCAAGAAGCCTTTAATATTTGTTAGTTCCCATAATAATAAAATACCTAAACCTCACTCCCATCTCTGTGTAGAGTGAGAGACAAATGCCCACAACAATTGTAAAGAGCTTTGTGACTCTAGACCGTGAAAGGCACTATATAAATACGTACTTAATATTGTTATGGCCACATGTAAATTAACATCTCAAATGATTAAGATCTGAACAAAGAGTGGTATTTACTTTTTCAACTTACAGTAAAATAAACAAATATATAAAAGGGAAAAAAATTATCATTACTGAGGAATTAATACTGACCATTCATGCCAAATACCCATTTACCTTAAATACTGTACCCCTTACCTAAGGTTCTGAGGAGCTTCACCAAATAGACTGCAAATTTCTCTAATTTGCTTCAAAGCAGGGATCACCCATTTGTCATTGGTTCGTAATTCTTCTATAAAACGATCAATCCACTGTATTTTCTGTGTGTCTCGGTCCTGGGATGGAAAACAGGAAAACTGTCAGTTCACGTGGAGATGCTCCTTGTTTTTGACGATCCTCATACCTGTGAACAGCTGTAATCCAGTATCTTGATGTGGGCACTAAGTGCCTGGTCCATGATGTCTACAGGCACATCGTCACTGTGAGCTAAGTTCCATAGCAAGTTCAGGACCTTGTGAGCCATCACTCCATCCTTGTCGTCCTCCGCCAAGCGCCGAATCAGTTCTAACAATTTCTCACGTTGCTTCTTGCTGGCATTGGTCCAGCTGGCCTGTAGCAGAAAGAATATCAACACAAATTGTCAGATTATACAGTCAGAAAATTCAGAACCCACTGAAATATATAATCTTTCATCATTCAAACCTTGAAGCAGTCAAAAAGGTGGTCAAGTTGCTCAGGTGAAAAGTCCCACGCGAGTTTGGCCAAAAGATCATGCACATTTTTCACAATTGCTTCATGTTTTCCAGCCTGGTGGCACCGATATTATGCAGAATATGTTCAATTTTAACAATTTTCCACATTTATAATACGGGGTGATATATTTAACATCTTAAAATACCTGAGCGGCCCAAATATTGTCCAGATCCTGCATGGTAAGAGCTTTTTCCTTTATTACAAAGCGTAGGATCTTCTCAAGTTTCTCCACATACTGGGGCTGATGCAAACTGTCCCTTAGCACAATCGAAAGTATGTGATTTTGTTGGATCCATTCCTTTAAAAACAGAAAGTGTAAGAATGGACAGAATACACACACAAATTGTAAAAGGGATTTAACTTACCGCCATGCGCTCAGCAGTTAGCCACTCTTCCTCCTCAGGGTTGTGACGATGTGTGTAGTAGGACACACTAGAAATCACCTTATTCACTTCATTTAGTGCATTCATTTTGCCGTTAAAAGAAGAAATTTGTAATAACCTGGGAAAAAATATATATATTGTTGGCGTTCCAAATATTTAATTAAAGTGTTTAGTTAATTTGTATTACATACAACATCCATACTAACCTAAGAATCATTTTCAGCCTAAAAATCTCTAAATTCTTTACAGTCTCTTCTTGTCCTGGGACACGAGAAGCCAGATTTTTTAGAGACTTGATTATCATTGATAGTGCGTCATTTTTGGCTTCATTTTTGGCCTCTTTCTTCAGCTCCTCATCTGTTAGGTTCTCTAAAAACTGTGGAACCATCTCAATGACTGGAAGGAAGTACTTCTTTACTGAGTGCAATGTGAGAAACTCGTAACACTGGCCAAAAGGCCTAAATGAAAGGAAATAAATAGTTAGGATATAGAAACACAATACATTGAAACCTTTTCAACAACCACCATACTTGATAAGTGCAGCAATGATCTGGACGTTCAGTGCTTGTCCGCTCATGAAGCGATCGTGCAATATTTGAAACCCGTTTAATGTCCCAAACTTGTTTATTAAGTCAACCAACCAGCCCTGTGAACAAACAAACATGTTTCAATCTTGGAACTTAAATGTTTGATGACGAGTCCATCAAACAGTGCTAAGATCTTTACCTTCGGGGACCGTGGGTCCGGAGGTCGGGCGTAGAGCTCGTCATCAGCCAGCTGTGCTCCAGCCGGGACACTCTCTGAGGGTCGGGTGCCATTGTAAATATGAAACTTGCAGTGAGGATTGGTGGCCATGGCCAGCAACTCTAATAGAGGGAACCAGTCCTGAGAGAGCTTGGCTACACACAGCTCAACTAAACGGTGAGTATTATTGATGATACACCTCTGAAAAACATGAAACATTTTGCAATGAATAAGGAAAATCAATAAAAGTAAGTATAAAAGTCTTCCTAATGACGTACGGGAGGCCTCATCTTTAGCATTGTTGAGGTCTAATCTGAAAACCCTTCTTTTTAGCTGTTTAGTTTTTGAAAAAAATGTTTTATTCTGCACATCTTTGTTAAACACTTTGAGTTGCAATGCATGCCATGTGCCTAAAAAGGAACACTATTAAAAACATAAAACAAATGTATTATGCATGATTAAATGGTACTTACTCAAAATCAAGCCATTCAATTAATGTTTTAAATATCCATAGTAGGTAGTAGTATTAGATTACAAAAAAGCTGAACTGTAGTGCACATAACTAATTTATGAACATGTAACATGTATTCTGGTTCTTGATTAATCACAAAAGATGTGAATCATTACTACTCTATTGGATGCATCCCTAATCCATAGAAAAAGACTCACATGAATTTCAAACTTCCATCCACTAACTGCCTCATCAGTCAGGATCTTTGTGAAGGATATGGTCAGACCATCTCGAAAAAACCTCTGACAGGCTTCACATTTTACATCAAGTCCTGCAAAAAATAAAACATGACATTTCCGTAAGGGTATTTTGTATCAATCATATAAGAAATATGAGAAATCATTTAAGTAGAGCTGTAATTGGAGCTAAAAAAGTAAAGCCTGGCCCATACCCGAGAAGATTCTGCCCAAACCTGACCCAAACTTGAGCCTGACAACTTTTTCTTAACCTGAACCCGTCTAGAAGACGGAATGTTTTTTTGTGTGTGCGCACAATGCAGTGCATCGCTGATCTACTGAGCACGCTACTGGGGGAAGCAAACAGTCCTGTGTTTGCGGCACATGCAGCAGAACCACGGCTGCAGCTGGGGGTCTCATGGAGCAGATCAAACCCAGTCCGCGGGGTCTCTTTCCTTTCCTTATGCATTTCCCCATTCAACTTGTGATCACTTAACCTGTTCATTTGTCTGTGTGATAAGGTCTGGCCGTTGGGTTCCGTCAGGCCCGGGCCAAGATCCTCAGTTCTACATTTAAGTCCAAACGTATTAAAAAGACAAAACCATTTGTGGACAATTTCAATAGATTTGTCCTAGAATCCAGACAATTACAGGTGAACAATTTCTATAAGAATGTACTTCATAAAACTGGGTTATGGAAGTCATTAAAAGAACAATAGTGATTCCCTAAACATGCAAATATAAACGAATGCGATTATCTTTTTATTTTAAAATCATAGAAATTACCTTTTTTACTCAGATCTATAGCAGCTTCCAAAAGAACTTCCAACTCTCCTTTTGGCAAAACTGGGACAACCCAACGAGGCCTGCAGTATAAAAAAAAAAAAAGTTTTGCATTTAATTGGTTTTGACCATTAGAATTAAAATGCTTCAGAAATAAAGGCTGTAGCTGCTATGAATTGACACACAAACAGAGTTACAGACACGTTAAGACTTTCAATAGTCTGAATAAAACTTAAAATTAACAGAATGATTACGTATTTTCATAGAGATATTAGACATGGAGCAGAATAATTAGTGCAGGGGCCTAATTTTTCCGTAGCTTCAAATGTGTTCAAACTTTCTTCAATATTTTTTCTGAAGAATTTAGAGAATAAAAAAAGTATCATAGAAACCAAATCTGTAATTGTTCAAACTTTCAATGTATGGCAAAACAAGTCAACTCAACCGGGCTTGAAGACAAAAAGAAAAATCATATTAGTTAAAATTTAGCAACTTACTCCTTACTTTCTTAATACATTCTCAAAGCCCAATTAGTCACTGCATGGAATTTGAGTGAGTCGAACTGTGAACGGTGACATGTCTCAATCCCGCTATATAAGCAGTGTGTACTACACACATGTCCATGGATTATCCCAAAACATGTAATACATGAGTTTTGCCTTTATAGTTACCCCGGAAAACCAAGAGAAGAGCATATGTTCGTGTCAGGAAATGCTACTTCTGTGGTGATAAGAGACAATCTCGATGAATGTTGACCCCCACTTCTCTCCCCTGTCCTCCACAGCAGTAAACTCATGGACATTTGCATAATGACACCGTGGAGAAAAAGCAATATAATTAGGGAACAACGAAATGAACTGTTCCACTTATTTATGGCTGATATTGTGCCCCTTCTGGTTTAATAAAGCCATTACAATTACAACCACAACCTAAACCTTTGTTGCCACTGTTCCGTGAAGCTCCTAAAGGCTATGTTTGAGACACATGGATACACATCCATTCTTAATTGCTTTAATAACATATCTGCATTGGTACTTTTTGGTTGTTGCTCAAATACATGAAAAAACAACCAATATACAACCAAGTACTGGCAAGATCACAGAGGGTGAAGTGTGAGCATCAACCTGTTGATCATGTCATCCAGCTTGGCGAGATCAGTGTGGGGAAAGGCAGGCTCCTCCTCTTCCAGCTGAGGAGGTCCATCGCCGGCTCCCTGCTCCTCTGGTGGACTAACTGGAGAGTTCTCATTAGACGAGTTCGGAGAAGTCTTGAAGAATCAGCATAACACAGTCATTGGTACATTTTCAAATCAGCCATACATTACATTTGGCAGATCAAAAACTATGCAGAATGAGAACCATAATCAAGACTTGAAATTCTATGCTTTAATATGAAATACATAAAAAATGAGGAGAAATTATTAAACCACTATACGTGGTAAGTACCTTATGATATGTATAATTTGAGATGCATTTAATACTCTTATTAACACACTTCTAGTTCATTTCAGGGGGACACAACAAGTACAGAACTTAAGTTAGTTGAAGAAAGACCGCTGAATTGCAATTACAGGGTCACAACCCTCAAGTTTCTGTTAATCAATGGCCAAGAGGCGAGTGTCTGGCTGTGAAAGCATCCTTAAAGGTGTGCGCAGATGTGAGAGAATAATGAAGACACATAGACATAAAAGTATGATTGTGGGGGTGTGTGGAAGCTCCTTCTGCTCGGCTGACCTACATAGGCAGTTTGCCTCTCACGTCTCACTACAGCTCATCTCTAACCAACGCAGGCCGCACAAAGACACACAAACACCCTTTATCCAGTCAGGAGGCTCTGTTCATTGATGCTGTGCCTTTACACTCTACCCCTTTCCGCTCCCTCCCTCAACCTTGTCCCTGAGAAAGACCCATTAACATTTGCTTAAAACGGACTCAAATACAAAATGAACTGTCAAAGAAGTTCATCACATCAACAATATTCTTAAAATAATCAACATCACAAACCTGATTCTGTGGCAGCGGAGGCTGGCTCTGAGAATCAGGGGCCTGGCTTTGGCCCTGACTGTCATTGCCCCCCACCGGGGAGCCACGCGTGGTGGCCGTCATGCTCGCCACGGGGCAGATCTTGGCAATCTTGGCCTCTTAGGGAGCGCTAGCCAGGAAAGAAATCACAGCCACCTCAGCTGTACGGCAGAGGGAAGAGAGCCCAAACACGCAGCAGAGGGACACAAGCACCTGGAGATCTGGATGTGCTGCTGCGACCATTGCATAACCTAAGGGGTAAAGGTTAGAGTTAGAATGGCAATGCTAACTTTGAAAATGAAAGATGAAATTTTGGCTGAAATCAAAGTGTAGAGGTGATGAAAAACAAAATGCTGGCCAAAAATGTTTTATTACAATACGAGAAGAAAATATCACAATAACAATATATTTCACGATTTAAATAGCGATGTGAACTGCAGGGCTTGCACACATCTGTCCGCTGGGACCTCACTCGTAGCGGGGCACTTATACCCAATTATGCCGGTATTATCATGAACAGTATTCTATCGACCCGCCTTTGCAGGAAATGACAATTCACACTCAGGGCTATTGAGAGTTCAGGGACAAGTGTGAAAGGTTTTAGAAAACAGTGTGCGGTGATACAGTAAAAAAAAACTAAAAACGGCCGTCCAGTAATATTCAAAAGGTTATGTAATAAAAATCTTACACATTGCAGCTAAAATAACATTGTAAAAATCAAATATCCCACAAGTATTAGTCTGTAAAACAATACCTTGATGTCTTGGGATATAAAACAAAAAACCTTATCATTTGTTTTGTTTTTTAATGCAAGGAAATTAAGCAATACTTGAGTTTTGTCATTTTATCAAGACAAAAGATAGAGTAAATGCCTTTTATTTGGACTGTAGGCCATAGAAAAATGCAAGCATCACTGAATCTCTTTGGGTTATCATAATACAAAAAAAAATACATTCATAGTAAGCAAAAAACAATACACAAAGGCACAATAATAAAAGTTACCAAAAGCTCTGCCCTGTGTAGGCAGCCAACCGTGGCAAGTCCAGGGAAGGTACAATTGAAATGCATCCTTGTCTTTTTTTTTTTTTTTTTACTGTGGCTACAGAGAACAAAAGACATTTCTCTTTATGGACTTTCACCAGTATTTGTTCCTGCATCTAGAAGGTGCAGGAAAAATACATACATCATTATTAAAACAAAAACTTGAATACTGGCTTAACCTATAGAAAGTAAGCTTTATTTAGGTACTACATGACTTCATGTACATGATGTGACATCAAATTGTGTGGGAAATGACTGTCAAATGAATAGGGGTTCCACTATCTATTAAGATCTACAACAAGAAATAGAAGTTTTAAACTGTATTAAAAACTAGGTGGTATAAAAGCGCATCTCAAATCTCAAAACACGTGATTACAAGTTGATATTCTTAATCCCCACTGAGTAACTATAGTAAAAAAGACTTTATTCAGTGCAATTACTTACTCCATAAACCTATAGACATATCCTGGAGACACTACCTGCACATTCCATGGAAATATTATCTTGGCGACGAATTAGTCTTTAGATTTGTGTTCATATCCACAGAATATGCTATAGGTTTTTATAATCCAAGTATTGATTCTTCTAATACAATAGAATAATGGACAGTGCATCACAAAAAGGTATTAGCAGATGTGTAACATTCCTAAAATATTAATAAATTATACTTTATGCTTTGATAATCGTCTACATCTTAGAAATAATAGGGTTAGACATATCACGACAACAGAGAATAGGTCGTTAATAAAACATAACACTTGTCATGCATTGTAAGTGTGTACCTAGTGCACCTGGGGTTAGCTTTGACAAGCACCCAGTAGTTGGACTGTCAAGATTTCTTATTCAATGACAGTACAAAGAAGATTGGCATAAGAATGTTTTGCTCAGTGAGCGACTATGCGAGTCCACGAAAACGAGACTTAACGTTACTGCCTTTTAAATAAAAATGTAACGTAACGCTTTCGTCACTGGGATGAAATGTATAACGTTAAATCACGTTAAATATAATTAGCCATGGACTCATTGCCAATGTTAGAGCATAGACTGTATGTTATAGGGTCAAAACAGTAGCGAACAGCTGGATAGTTGTATGTTATCGTCTGCGGCACTGACGCTGGCTTCAGCTGCATAGTGATCCGCCCAGAGCTGTTTAGGCCTCGTCCACAGCCACTGCGCTGAGCATGGAGGCCTCATTACTCACAGGCCTCTCACCTTTTACCACACTAATGCTTTAGTAACACAGGCGTGTGCTGCCAACTCTAGTGTGGACAAGTTTCTGAATAAGTTCAAGTACATTATAATCAGCGAGCATAAGTCACCCTAACTTAACGTGGTGTTGATATGCTACCGGTTAGCACGCTCCGAGATCAACGTTAGTCAGTTTAGCTAGCATTATAAGGACAAGTGTCTTTTTGGGCAAAGCTACAGGGACCGAGGCACGAGTTGCAATGTTTATGAAACGTATTTATTTCCTTTCGATTTCGTTTAACGTTAACCTTCAATGATGGCGATTGAGGTATCGTCTATTTCCTGAAATTGAGTGCCTTGACCTGTATGTTCCAATACCAAGTTTTAGTTTGCTCCAAAAAAAACTAAATAGAAATAAAAATATGTGCAGAGTACGTGATTTGATCCACAGCCACATCTGATTAATAGACACCTAACATTATAAAAAAATGACAACGACTTTACATAGTAATACAGGCGAATTATTTAACGTCGCGCTAGTTGTAAACACAGAACCTTTAAAAGGAATCCAACATTGTCAGTCATTAGCCAGTTCCCAAGAATGACTGCGGAAGGCTAGCGCTAACTCTGCTTCAGTGAGATTGCCAGGCAGTGTAAATGTTTAGAAAAAGCTCAAAACTCGTTGACATTACAAGTTATACACAGAATTTGTGCAAATAAGGATACAATTGTCCGGGTGGGACAAGTAAGCCGTATCAAGCACATAATAATACATCATATCACCAGCCACCAGCTGACGCTATTAGCACTAGCTCGCTAACAACCAGTGAGCGCCGAGCTAGCGTTGGTTAGCAGCAACTCACCAGGAATTTGATATGACTTCCTCTCTATTCACAGGCTATGGCCAAAGCCTTGAACGATGGTGCCGTCGAATTACATAAACGAGGCCTGTATCGGTGACAGCTGCACGGGACAGAGACGAGAAGCAAAATGTGTCTAAATCCTACGGTTTCTTCTGCTTCTGGGTGTTTTTCCTGCGTCACCGGCGCGGTTTCAGCCCCCAAACTCTAGTCCGATTCGTGGGGCTTGTCACTTCGGTCCTAGCAGTCACTCACAACTTGAATCAGTACAACATGGCGGAAGGAAGCGCAGTCTGGCACAAACGCTGCTTCACATGATGAGCCAAACAACAGCTAAGACTGGAGGTCCCGCTCAGTAAAACACATTGCAATGCAGCCCGACAGGCATCAGGGAGCACTACACGGCGGTATGAAAAGGGCAGCAGACCCTGTGGTATTCTGATTCGTGACTCCAGATCCCAGTTTACGCCACTGTCCGTAGTTTACTTTCAGCCGATGGAGCTACAAACACTTGACTGTCGCCTCCTACTGCACCGGGTGTGTAGTCTACTAATATATTAATATTTACAGAGTCGACTGTATAAAATTGTGCAGCCATCCCATTCTGTTTCTTAAGAGTGAACTGAAAATATAAATTATTTGATTTACGTTGTATGAGGTAAATATGTCCCATATGCCCTCACCCGGACCCAACTTTGGGAAGCATCAGAAAATCAAAATATCTCTTTTACACTATCATTTTTTTTAGGGGAAAAAGTAAATTATTATCCAGCAGATAATTAGTGAACACATGACGGATTAGCTTATTATTTCTACAATGACCCCCCCAGAGCGTTTTCAAGGCTTTCTGGTAGTTGGGAACAATTAGAGCAGGGTGGTGCCACTAACACCAGGCACATTTGGAATACGGCATAGGGGCATAATAATTAATATTATGGATCTATGGGTAAGGGCCAAATTCTTGCAGGTTGATGATTGAATTGAAGTCAAATTTAAGCTACAAACTACCTTTAGTAGACTATAATTTGAGTGGTATTGTGCTTTATGCACAATATATTTAGATAACTAGTCAGAAATAGAGTACAGAATTATAACAACAATGAACAATAATTGTTTTTCGCATTTGTATTTCTTGCTTTCTCGAGGATCTCATGGATTCCTCCCGGGTTTTGCTTCCGACTTTCTTCGGCGGAATCGATTCAATGCCAGCAAAGATGGCGGCTGAGTAGTGTTGAGCTCCTCTTCGTGATGTGTTACTCTCTTTCCTATTTACATATCTTTCGTTGCTGAAATCGAAGTCACTCCGTTACGTGTGGATGGTTAAAATGCGGGGAGTCTGAAAAGTCCGGTGACCAGTGTTTTTACGGTCTATATTTTTGCGGTGGTGTCGGTGCATTGCAGAAGCTCCTTTGTAAAATGGCCCCGGTGCAGATCGGCTCAGACGGGCAGCTTGTCCCGTTTGGGGGGCCGGTGGCCTCCGGTCCTCAGCAGCATCCTCCCGGTCCCGCTGCAGCGCAGGGGGTTCGGCTGAGTATGCTGATTGACTTTCTGCTCCAGAGAACTTACCATGAGATCACCCTGTTGGCTGAGCTGTGAGTACTAAGCAGTAATATAGCATCTCGGGCCGCCGGGCTAGTGATAATAGCGCATACTAGCGGGAGTCACAAGTTTGTATTTTTTCTTGACAACTTTGTCCCTATGTTACACGTTGAATGTCACCAAGTCAATTTAGTCCTCCATAAATACAAAATAAATAGATTGGACATCTAGTGAATGTGGGCAATTACTTTCAAGTCTATCTTATCTTATCTAGGATTAGGTTTATGCATGTAAGTATTCATTTTTGAAGCCTTTGCTAATGTTTTTTTTGTTTAATTTTTTTTCTACAGATTGCCCAGGAAAACGGACATGGAAAGGTAATCATAGTATTTAAGGATATGTTTTGGAATATGTATTAATATTATTTTATTATTTTAGGAAAATAGAAATTGTACAATTTGCCAGCCGGACAAGACAACTATTTGTGAGGCTACTAGCACTTGTGAAATGGGCAAGCAATGCTGGAAAAGTTGAAAAATGTGCCGTAAGTATAACACGTTTGTTAAATAAAGGTGGATAAATTACTGTACACACCCACTTTCTTACATCCATAGCAATGTTATTTGCTACCTTTAATGTATTGACCTCCAAGCAGAGACTGAGTTCTAGGTCTGATTATTTGGAGCGATTGCACAGCTCACAAGCATGTTTTGCAGAGGGTTTTTTCTTAAGGGTGCTAGAATTTTAAGCGTTTGGCGAAAATTTGTCTGTTTAATGACGAGAGCTTGCCTTAAATGGGGCTTTGTTAGTGTTGAGTCGAACAACCGCCTTCCATCAGAAATGTTTCTTGTTATAATTTTTCACAATGCGTTTACCTTGTTTTTCTTAGATGATCTCCAGTTTTTTGGACCAGCAGACTATTTTGTTTGTCGACACAGCAGATCGGCTGGCATCATTAGCCAGAGACGCCCTGGTACATGCTCGTTTACCTAGCTTTGCTATTCCTTTTGCAATTGATGTTCTTACCACAGGATCATACCCACGCCTTCCTACATGCATCCGAGTAAGTGTCATTGTACTGTTACATCTTGTTATTTTTCTGTCAACGTTCTCATCCTTGTCATATTGATTTCGTTCTCTTCAGGATAAAATTATCCCCCCAGACCCAATAACTAAGACCGAGAAGCAGACCACCCTAAATCAACTAAATCAGATATTACGACATCGACTTGTCACCACAGATCTTCCTCCACAGCTAGCAAATCTTACTGTTGGTAAGAAGCTTGTTGAATAATTTTATCTAAATAAACTTGTATGTAATAGTGGATGTTCTAATAACCATTACATTATGTAAATAACATAAATCATTACAGTAATTTGCCCTTTATTTATCTAGCAAATGGACGGGTAAAATTCCGTGTTGAAGGAGAGTTTGAGGCGACTCTAACAGTGATGGGTGATGATCCAGATATTCCTTGGCGATTACTAAAACTAGACATTTTGGTTGAAGATAAGGAAACAGGAGGTGAAACTATATCCTGGCTGTCTACTTTTTAAAATTTGTAAATGTTTAACCAACACAGTACTGTTTTATTGTTAGATGGTCGGGTGTTGGTGCACAGTTTACAAGTGAATTTCATTCATGAACTGGTCCAAGCGCGGCTGTGTGCTGATGAGAAACCGCTTCAGGACATGTACAACTGCTTGCGTATCCTTTTTGTTAACATTAAGTTTTAGGTCTTATTCATGATTAAACTTTTACTCCTTCAATAAGTGCTTTTTTGAAACTGTTTAGCTACTGTTTGGGTTCCACACATAGTAAATAGAAATGTTTCATCCTTAGTGTGAATGGGGACCTAGTTCTGTGCGGCTATTTATTAATAGGGAAAGTGGCAATTACTGACAAAAATACATGGCATCTCCCAATGAGGTGTATAAAAGACACACATAAGGTGTTGCTCTGTGAAATGAAGTATAGAAACATAAAAGTGGTTAATGCTTTTTTCAAGTCAATGCAAATCTTTACATCTCTATACCCATACAGAATTAAAACGAGCAATGCTTGTGGTGTCAAAGCGCAGTTTGTTTGGAGAACAAATGGCCCTTTTACCCACACAGCGTTCAGTAAGGATATGTGCCTATAGAATACTAATGAAAAGGCATGATTAAATATGTGTATTCTTGTCAATTGTATACCTTCTTAACAACATTCCCCAGACTCTTTTTGTCTATCGCTGCAGCTTGAGGTGCTGCACTCTCAGACACTAATGCTCATCAGAGAAAGATGGGGAGATCTGGTCCATGAGGAAAGATATATGCCAGCAAAATTCCTTACCCTTTCTGTTTGGAAGTAAGTGTTTAAACAGAAAACTGAAGAAAACAGGATTAGCCAGCAATTAACAACATGCTTCTTCAAGAATTGTGTTTATTTGCACAGTCAACAGGTTCTGGGTAGAAAAACTGGAACAGCATCTGTTCATAAAGTCACAATACGAATTGATGAAACTGATGGTTCAAAGCCACTTCAAATATCTCATGAGCCTTCACTTCCTGCCTGTGATCCAAAGTTAATGGAAAGAGCTATGAAGGTGAGATTGAGAAAAAAACAAACAATGTTGATTGATTCATTTACTCATGATTTTTTTCTTCAGATCGATCATTTGTCAGTGGAGAAACTTCTGATTGACAGCGTCCATGCCAGGTCTCATCAAAAGTTACAGGAACTTAAAGTAATTCTAAAAGCTAGTAACCCCAGTGACAACTGTATGTATATTAAGTATATTTATTATGTTTGTGTCATTTGTATCATGATAAATAATTGCTGCTCCTATTTTAGCTTTCATTGAAACGGCTTTACCCACATTAGTTATTCCTATTCTGGAGCCCTGTGGTCGCTCCGAGTGCCTTCACATTTTTGTTGACCTCCACTCCGGCATGTTCCAGCCAATGCTGTATGGACTAGGTAATAATTAGATCAATTATGTTTTAACTTTGATAAAAGGAATACAATCTTGTGAAATTGTCTTTCCTTTGTAGATCAATCTATACTTGATGACATTGAAAAAAGCATCAATGATGATATGAAGCGCATCACATCTTGGCTGCAGCAACTGAAGTAAGCATAGTTTAAATTTGTTGCTTTCAAATATTGAAAACCTTCAGATATTAATTCTCCAAATATGTTTGGATCAGTTGCTAGAATTATGCTGACTCATGTGAATATTTGACCAGGTTCTGGTTAGGTGAACAGCGCTGCCGTCAATCTGTGAAGCATCTCCCCACTGTGTGCACAGATGTGTTACACCTCTCAAATTCATCGTCTCATCCTGTTGGAAACTTGTCCAAACACAAACTATTTATCAAACTCACACGGTTGCCACAGTACTACATTGTATGTATTGTAGATCTAAATGTTAACATCGCTCTTGCTCATTGACATATTGTATTATGGTTTTATTTTAGGTGGTGGAAATGAATGAAGTGCAAAGCAATCCTACTTTGTTGCAGTATAAATACTCTATCCTCTCAGTAGCTCAGTTGGAGGCAGATGATGGGCCCTTGTGTGCACAACTACTTCAGCATTTCAAACCCAATCTTGAGCACCTCGTTCAGGACATCACAACAGGAAAAGGAGTTCGAGTGGGTGCTAAAAGAAAAGTAAGCAATCTGGACCTGCTTTCATTAAGTTATGACAACAGCTATCAAAGTACTTAATATACATTTGTGTATAGTTGCCTCCAGAACAAGGAGATGCCGAACCCAAAAAGCCCAAGCGATCTGGGGAAATGAGTGCCTTTAACAAAGAACTTGCACATCTTGTGGCTATGTGTGACACAAACATGCCATTTATTGGATTAAGGACTGAAGTATGAATATTTTTATTTTTTTGCATTCTTTGACATGGACATGTTCCAACTTTGATACAAAATGTCACCCCCATTTCTACCTATCCTAACATGACTGTTTTATCTGGTTCTTTGGTAGCTGTCCAATATGGAAATCCCAAACCAGGGTGTCCAAGTGGAAGGAGATGGAAGCAGCCATGCCATTAGATTACTAAAGTATTTTATTGCCATTTTGTATTAAACCAAAAGTTCCAGTACACCTTTGCTCACTGGTTGATGTACCTCCACAGAATACCTTCTTGTAATGGTGTGGGAGATGAGA